CCCTGCGGTGTGGTCACACCCACTGCTGGGAGTGAAGCCTGTTGTTGTTGTTGCCGCCGCTGCTGCTGCTGCTGCGAGTGGCTCACGGTGTCGAGAAGCCCTCCCGGCAGTGACAGTTGCGCCCGGCGGCGGCGGCAGGCGGCCGGCGCTTCAAGGTCACGGTGACTGGGGGAGGGAGAGCGCCGTCGTGCCCACGGGTTCCGCTCGTCCCCGCGGTCACACCCCCCCACTCGCTTCTCTCACTCGCCCGCTTTCTCTTGGCCGTGAGATTTTTAAAAACACAGCGACTCTGAACGGCCTGCTGATACCGGAGCGATCGGCGGCTCAAGTTTTGTTGCCGGATTTTCGCAGCCGGGTTCATGGACTCCCGTGTGCCGCATGCGCCAAACTCGCCCCTCTGTGTTTTTACTTGTGAAGGAGCGAGCAGTGGTTGTGTGTTGGTGGTGGCGCGGTGGTGATTGTGACAAAGGTGGTGAGTTTATAGGAGACATTCCATTTCAGTAGACTTTCTACCCAGTTGTAAAGTTCAACAAACTTCTCAAGAGATTGCCAATTGTTACACTTTTGTTTACATTGCTGCAGACGCCCCTTAGGTAATCCTGGTTGCAGCTCGGCTCACCTTGTTTAGAATGAAGTCATTTATGGTCATTACGCAAGCCTCCGTGCGCTGCGTGTACACACGTGCGAGGAAGCAGTTTGGACAAACCTGCTACACATGAATGTGAATCCAGGGTACACGTGAATAAACATTCACGCGCGTGGACGTACACACAAACCACGCGCGGATGAATCGCTTGACCGCCGTGTCGTAGTCTTGAGCGCAGCGGACGTTTGCGGCGGCGGCGGCGGGCACCTGATGCCAGAAATGAATCGACTCTTTCACTGCCGAGAGGCGAGCGGCGCGGACGCCGCGGCTGGTAAACAGCCCGCCAAGATACCCCCCCACCTCCCGCCCGCTCTGGCGCAGCGACGCGTGGATTATTTTTTTGTTTGAGCCGAAGACGAAAGTAGCTTCCACCGTGCAGATGAGCTATGCTCTGTCGGTGGCCCTGATCCAGCGAACGTGCCAACGTTGGCCGTGTGGGTTGGAACTATTGGCACAACAACGTTTTATGTTTATTGGGGGGGGGGGGGGGGATGCTCAGGCCAAATACAGAAATATGTACCAGAAACAGGTTCATCTTCTGGGTTCTTTCGGTAAAGTCACGTAGAAGGAAAATAATAAAATAATAAAAATAAACATACAATAATTCTCACGACGTTTCGGCCACAACGCAAGCAGCCGTACTCAGGTGAAGAACAGGTCTGTCGGAAAGACGGCATCATTCAGTCGCTGTCTTTCCGACATTCAGACGCTGTCTTTCCAACAGACCTGTTCTTCACCTGAGGACGGCTGCTTGCGTTGTGGCCGAAACGTCGTGAGAATTATTTTATTTTATTACGTTATTTTTATTTTATTATTTCCCTTCTAACCGAAAGAACCAAGAAGATGAATCCCTGCAGTCACGAAAGCTTTAAATCCAAACAGAAACAGGTTTTCACACGTCGGGGCTGAGGGTTGGCAGATCACGCAGCGAGACGGGTAAAACTCCCTGCTTTTGTTGGTACCATTGTTGTCAATTGTAAATCACAGTTTCATGCAGACGAGGAGGAAGGGCGGCGACAACTTTGTTTAGGCCTTCACTGTAAACATAGCAATGTTGTCGTGGGGGTGGTGTGTTTGGGAAGGGGTGGTCCCGTTTGTCGTCTTAAGTGTCTCCTTAGTTAGGGTGGCTCGGAGGTTCGCGTGCAGAGAGAGGGCTGTGCCAAGAGCTTCCTGAACATCGTGCTCGAGTTTTTATTATTATTCATATTTACGTTTCTAATGTCTGACGGTCACATTTGTACTTTTGTGTGCGAGTTGCTTTCTGCAGCAATTCGTACAGTAACATATATGTATAGTGTAATTATACACTGTATCACAGATTAGTGGGGGCGGGGGGAGGCAAGGTAATTTGCCAGAATCTTTGGTAAACAGGGTAAAGATCCAGGTAGAAAACCACTTGGGAGAAAATCCCTCCCCACCCCCATCGGCCACACAAGTTATAATCTTGCTCAAGCTCTACAAAGTAAATCCAGAGATTCATTCTCCCTATCTGCTGTCCTACCACAAAGATCAAATCTCCTGAAGCCCCCCCTCCTCCCTGCCCGATCTAAGTGCGCACTGATTTTTGTGGCCGCTACGGCATCCTAGGTGAGATTTTGGTCGGCTGTTTAACAACTTGGGAGTTATACTAATGGGGTTTTCCCCTTTTTTCTGGCAACAAAACTGACACCTTTTGTAAGAAATCATGTTTACATTAACCACAATACTTGCAGTCAAATGCAAACAAAAAACAATACTCTGGTAATTTATGCATTGTCTTTGAAACTGATTGGTCCACACCATAGACAGCTTTCTTCGGAGCCTCGTCTCATATGGTGTTCGACCAGATGACGCCAAAGTGATATTCATGTTTATATTTGGGAGTTGCGACTCCGGCGCGTACACAAAGACATTGAGGCAGTAGAATGGTATGGACCGTGCTTGCCTAACGTATTCACTAAAACCACAGATCGGGGTTTGCGGAGTCAAAAAATATAATTTCTGAAGTCAATACGGGTTAGATGAACGTACAGCGTGCAGCTATTTTTGTAGGTTTTTTTTAGGCATTTAGGACAGACACTGCCAGGTTCTGAAGAAGATGCGAGCTATCCTCAGATGAGGCTATTAGCTTTAATGAGAAACGTGGCTCCTGCAGTCTGATCACGAGTACCCGGTTTGGAAGATTGAGGTGGGTAGTGGACTTTGTATACTTGGGCAGTAATGTCCATATTGCCAGGAGGCTTTGAGAAGGAGTTTGCAGAAGGTATATTTGTTTAGCGGGGCTTGTGTTAGATGCACTATGGAAACTAGATGCGATGGGTAGGCCAGGTGTGTAATGCACAGGGCAGTTGATGAGGCGGGAGTGATATCCATGTTTATAGATTTTAAACTTAAGCAGTTTGATAATACAAATGTCTTTGCATTTAAGGACAGGTGTCTTGAGGCGGATGCTGAGAATATCTTCGCAGGACAGGAGGAGCCATGCAGACGTGATTGTTGTGGTTATAGGATGGGGGGGCGAAAAACCGGTTGCGCTGGGTTGGACGTGTGATGGGACGGGGTGCTCAAATCAGGTGGCAGCCAGCCCCGAGCCCAGCGAGTAGGATCACAATTCCCGGTAAGAAAACAGTGGGTTGAGGTTGTAGTGGACCTTGTGCAATTAATTTGTAAAATTCGGCAGTAAGCAGCGGGGGGGGGGGGGATGGGGGGGGGTGCTGCTTTGAGATGGATTTCAAGAAGGTGCATTGTTTTAGCAACACTAGGGTGTTGACGGGCGGCTACGGAAGCCACTTTGCAAGAGAAGAGGGAGAAAGTATTTAAGTGCGAGCAAGAAAAAGGGACATTTTTAGGTGGGAAGAGCCAGCCGCTCATCGTTCGGGAGATTCTCCAGAACCTTGCAAGGGTGGGGGGGGGCAGGAGCTCCGATCAGGTGGCCGGGGCCCAGCTCCCTCTCGCAGCGCGCGTCGTCACGTCTCCCGCGCACAACGTTGGCTCAGTATGCATCCCGCGGCGCTGTAATGTGCACCGTCTAGACCGGGCTTTTGTCCGATTGTGTTGCTGCGCGCTCGTGATTCTTGTGACGCAAGCGGCGAGTGAATTGAATCTCCTTGAGTTTACTGGCTGTCCCCCCGACATCAGATGGGTGCCCGCGGGTGGGGGTGTCGGCGTGGGGGGTGGGGAGAACTTGGCATCTACTTAAATTTCTTTGTAAATTAGCTTTTTGGAAAGAGGTTTAGTTAATTCGTGTCTTGTTTATTAACTTGCGCTTTTGGGGTGGATGTGGGGAAGGGTGGTGGGGATGTCGGAGCAAATGTAACTTTCCATTTCATTGCAATGATTAAAACATGAGAAGAATGCCATTCTCTGGATTATAACACGAACCCCCAGCTAATGCTTTGAAATACGGAGGAACGAAAAATGTGCCTTGTAATCCGGGTGATGCAGAATCGGCTTTACACAATCACCCTGGCCTACCAACGCTTAGCCGTGGTGTTTTTGAGGTCCGGATTTTAGTTGCCGGAGGTGTCTCGTGACCCAGGTTGGTGTGGTGCCTTCATTGACTAATGACCGAGCCGAGAGATGTTTAGACTCTGCACCATTGCAGAGAGAGAAAGCCCCCTGTGATTGTGGTGGTGATGGTCGTGTGAGGCTGCTGAGTTTGGCGGATTACGGTGGGAGTGTGGTGGTTGACAGTCGGACTGAACTCGCTGTGTGCGCCACCATGCTCCCATTGCTTCTGCCAGCTGTGCTGCCATTTAATTTCATTCGCCTTGCCTCTCCGCTGGTATTACTTGCGTGATGAGATGTTAACTACCTCGCCTGGTATGCAGGAGGTCATGGATTCCGACCCTGATGCCTGTATATTTGGAGTTTGCATGTTCTCCCCGTGCTCATATGGATTTTTCTCCGGGGAGTCCGGTTTTTCCCTCCACATTTTAGAAACATGCGTTTAGACTTTGGCTGCTATACATTTCCACGTGATAAGCCACTTTGTTGAGCTGTCATATGCGACCAGGTCGCTTCCGAAAAAGAGCTACATAGCTCAGTGGGGCCTTATCTGGCCAACAGTTTTTTAGTATATATGTTTTTTTAGTTTGCGTTGTGAAACACGACACAGTAACTGTACTCCATAAATACCACTGCTGGATAAAGGCCTCTCGTGCTCCTTCGATGTAATCATCCACCCAGCACCTGCAGATGAGCTGATTTCATCGCTCCATCTCCTCGGTGAATGCCCCCTCGGCCCGTTCCGCTGTGTCAGTCACAGAGGTTGTTGGATTATACTTCGCCACACTGGCGACGTATAATCCGTGTTTTCTGGCCCGGGCCGCACATCTGCAACGTGTGTGTGCGTGTCTGTGGTGTGTTTTTGTAGGCAGCTGCAAGGAGCAAGGCCGTCAATGGCTCGAGGAAGTCACGACCTCCGGACCCCGCGGGGCAGTCCAGCGATGGCGCCCGTGACGCAGAAGATTCCACGCCGCCAGCCGCCACCGCCGCCGCAAAACCCGGCCAGGAGCCGCCGCTCGCCGCCCCCTCTCGCTCGCCATCCCCGACGGCGCACCCTCCTCCCAACGGCCTGGCGCACGAGAACGACACTCAGGACGACTTTCAGGACGATTCCTCTCAGGGCAAGGAGGTGGTGGTGGAGAACGGGCAGCCCGCAGAGCCGGAGCAGAATTGCCATGGCATGAAGCGGCACATAAACGGTTCGTGCCCGCAGGCGATACCGCCGAACAAAAAGCCACGGTTGGAGGACGTGGAGCTGGACCTGCTGAGGTTGGCCGACAGCCTCGCGCTGGCGGCGGAAGGCGGCGAGGCCGCCGCTGTCAACGGCGGAACGGGCGAGTACCCGCCCAGCCCGGATGACGGTGCCAAGCGGGCTCCCAGCCCCATCGTCACGAACCCCCTGCTCTTCCTGTCGGAAGCAGCCTCGGCCCAGCAGGGATACTGCAAAGCCACCGCGTGCTCGGAGAGGAAGCCCGAAAACTGCGACTGCAAAGGCCCGGACTGCCCCGACTTAACGGCGGCCGCCGAGAGCGGGAACGACTGCGAGCGGTCTCCCGAGGCTGGCGGCAGCTGCGCCACTCCGGAGCCGAGCGGAGCCGCGCCGGGCCCCTCGGCCCAGGCTTCGCTCGGCAACGGCGGCGTCGGAAACTCCGCGGCGGCGTCCGGCGGCAGCGTGCCAGCGGAGAGGTGCAGCTCTCCTGCCTTGGCGCTCGCCGGCGGTAAAAACAAAAAAGGGGCAAACGCTCACCTCTCGGGTTTCTTTCAGAGCTTCCTCGACTTTGCCCTGCAGCAGCAGATGAGCCCCGAGCAGGCGACGGCGGTGAAGGCGCTCGCCGAGTTGTCCAACGGCACGGGAGCCCAGTTGGCCGGCGCCGCGCCCAAGCAGTCGGCAGGCAAGGGCCGAGCGGGCAAGGCGGCGAAGGCGGCGAAGGCAGTGGCGGCGGCGGCAGCGGCGGCGGCGGCAGCGGCGGCAGCAGCGGCGGCGGCAGCGTCTCCTTCGCAAGCGAGCAACGGCGTTGGCACGTCCAGGCAGACGCTGGCGGAGCTGTGGCCCGGGCCTCTGCAGCAGAATCAAGAGGCGGCAGCGGCGGCGGCAAAGCACAAGCAGCATCTGCAGGCCCAGGCTTCTGCACAGTACTCGCAGAAAGCGGCGCAGCACGGCGCGGCTGCGCAAAATCACCAGCAGCAGTCCCAAGCGCTGGCGCCAATGCAGGGGCAACCGCCGCAGGGGCAGTCGCTCCTACAACAGAAAATTCTAAACGATGCGCACATCGCACCCCTGCTCGTGCAACCGAATCACAGCTTGATGAACCACCAGCAAGAGCTGCACTCGCAACTTCACAGCCAACATCTTGCTCAAGAGCAGCAGCTTACACAGCACCAGCAGCAGGCGCAGCAGCATCAGCAGTTCTTGCAGAGCCATGAGCTGGCACAGCAGTATTCGCATCATCAACACAATCAACTGCTTCTGCAGCAGCAGCTGCTTCAGGATGCCCAATCGCAGCAGTGCAAGTGGCAGCAGAGCGCAGCATTGGATGCGCAGTCACAAGGCCACACAAACGCCCACGGCCAGGTCTCCGACGGAGCCGCCTCCGTTGCCAAAGAAGACGACACCCCCGTGCCCCGTAATAACCTGCACCAGCCGGCGGTCGCTTCCTATCACGGGCAGCCGCTGTCGATGGGAGCGGAGGGAGACTCGGAGCAGAGCAGCCGCCCCTACTCAGAGCTGTCCGAAGAGGTGCTGCGAGGTGATGCCTCGAAACAAAGGTGCTCAGAGCAAGCGACCACCAGCAACCAGAGCAGCACCCGCTCGGTCATTATGAATCACGTGGCGTCCGTGTGCTTCGACGCCGACAAAGGTAAAAGCCATCGTACGTTTATGGGACTCGACGCCGAACGATCAGGGACTCTCCAAGGTGCTATTACAAGCCGACGCAACTCGAGCGACCCAGCGGAGGAGCACGGGCTCCTGCAGTCGCACCTGCTGCCTCAGGGAGGCCAGCACGTGATGCACGCCCGCCCGCAGCACGGCGAGCGCGACGCGAAGAACTCGGCGGCGCAGGCGGCGAGCGAGCGCTACGGGCAGCACTGCGAAGGTTCGCAAGATCCCCAGGGCAGCCTGTCCCTGCTTGCGCACGCTTCCGACGTGCAGGCCGCCCGGCAATACTACGGCAGCAAGAAGCAGATGCATTTCCAACAGCCGATGCCGCAGCAGATGCAGCCGTACAAACACTCCGAGGTGGAACAGAAGTCGCTGGAGAGGCTTCTGCAGCAGCACATGCAGAGCGGGGATGAAGGGCTGTTCCAGAAAGTGCTCGGGAGCGAGCAGCAGCAGCAGCGTCTGCAACAGATGCAGTCGAAGGAGCACCCCGCGCAGGGACACAGGGACAAGGCAGCACTCAAGGGGCAACATAATTCAAGTTACAAAAGCGGCCTGTCTCGCAGCAACAGCATTGGTTTTCAACAAACATCTGGGCCGGGAGAGCAGCAGGACAAACGAGGCTCGTCCATGAAAACATCCCAGCCGGACAACGGAGTGATTTGCTTCTCCAGTCGAGGTGCGAGTGGCCACGACTTGGGGCACAGAGTGATTCGCAGTGGTTCGCCGATGTCGAGCCGAAAAGAGCAGCAGTCCTCCGTGCACGACCCGAACAACGACGACCTGAAGGAGATCATCCGGCAGCTCGAGATAAAGATCGCCGAGGATCCCCGAGTCGTCGGATCATTTGTCGCAGCGGCAGCACCACCAGCAGCAGCAACGGATGGACGTCTCCCACCCGCAGTCGTCTCGCCCGGGCTCTGTCCGCGCATCCGCCGATCTCCCGGCTAACCAGACGCCAACGCCGCACAACATGCGTTTGAAAACCGAACCCACGCCAGCCGAAATGTGCCACCGAGCGAGCAACGATTTGGGGACGCACGGTTCGACGCGCGCTTCCTTTTCGTCCCCGTCGCCATCTTCGCTGCCGCCGTCGTCGTCGTCCGTGCCGTCATCCTCGACCGTGAAAGCTCACCTGGCGGCCTACCTGCAGAGGCAAAGCCTCCAGGTGAAAGTGGAGAGCTCGGGGCCCATCACGGTGCTGTCCACCCTGGCCGCGTCCGTGGGGATGGACGGGGAGGAGGACAAGGGGGCCACGCTGTCGGGAAACTCGACCCCTGCCAAGCAGCCGCCGTCCATCCTCAGCAGCTTCCTGGAGTCCCCGCTCAAGTACCTGGACACGCCGACCAAGAATATCCTCGACACGCCCACTAAGAAGGGCCAGGTGGACTTTCCTCCGTGCAGCTGCGTGGGTGAGTACGGGACGCCGTGGGAGAAACGGAGTAAAGCGTGCGTTCGCGCGGCGGCGGGCACCCTGCCAGCAGCAGCGTCTCTTTCCGTGTCAGTGTCACCGTCCACAGGAGGAGTCGGCGTCGTGGATAGTATACGTGTGGGCGCCGCGGTGGGGAGATGTTAACTACCTCGCCTGGTATACAGGAAGTCGTGGGTTCGATCCCAACGCCTGCTGTATATTTGGAGTTTTTATGTTCTTTCCGTGGTCGCTTGGAGTTTTCTCCAGGTCCTCCGCGTCTTTTCCCTAAACATTTAGAAACATACTTTCAGAGTAATTTGGCTACCGCTGTACATTTTCACTTAATACGCCACTTCGTTGAGGCATCGTTTGCGGCCAGGTCGCTTACGAAAAAGAGCTACACAGCTCAGTGGGGCCTTTACCTGGTAAAATAAAAACAATTGTTTGGCGTACTCCCCACAGGGCCACGAAGGGCAGGCGCCACATCTTATGAAAGTGTAGACTGGCGAGGGGCCCGTAAGGCCACAGCGGCACAGGAGGATCCCGCGAGGATAGGGCAGGGTGGCAGCGGGGGGCCGGACCCGTGTGAGCAGTTGGGGCCTGTCTCGTGTAGGCGGTCGGCCGTTACTGACGCGCCGCGTCTCTCTCTGGCGCTGCCGCCGCTGCGAGCGAACGGCTCCAAGTGGGTCACTCGGTCGACGCCGCCCAAACGGGGCGCCGCGCCACGGAGAGTTGGGCGCTTGACAAGGCCCAGCCTCTCTCTGTGTGCGTGCGCGCGAGTATGCACAACGTGTTCGCACGCGTGCCGCGTGTGCGCGCGCATACAAAGACAAAGATCCCCCGTATAGCCTTAACAGACTGTAGGGGCAAGTGCTGTTAGCGAGCACCTATGAAGGCCGGAACGGTACACGAGGGGGTGGGTGGCCAGCACCACGCCCGACCGCCTTTGTCTCTCTAGTGGCGATGTTTACACACCGCACCAGGTACTCATTTCAGGCTGAGTCGACCTAGGGGAGGCCCAGGACCGGTTCAGATAATCGTCACCGGTGTTGGCCGTGAGCGGGAATCGAACCCGGGTCGCCAGGTTCATAGCACAGCGCGCTAACCGCTGCACCACCGCTCCCCAGCACTACGCCTGGCCACCTTTGTCTCCCCAATGGCGATGTTTACACACAGCACCACGTTCTGATTTGAGGCCGAGTCGACCTAGAGAAGGCCCAGGACCGATTCAGATAATCGGGGTGTTTGCCGTGAGCGGAAATCCAACTCGGGTCGCCGGGTTCGTAGCGTTGCGTGCTAACCGCTCCACCACCTCTCCCCACAAACGCACATACCCCCCCCGCACACGCACCTATGTGTTCACATGCACAAACACACACTATCACGTGCTGAATTCTCGAGCTTTGCAACTGAAACCATGTGTCCCTTTTAGCTACCACGTGCATTCATAAATCGTGGCGTGCAATGACGATGGCAGATAATAGCTGGACCCCCGAATACCTCTTTTCCACTGGCACATCCGAGCCGAGCCATGACCAAACCCCATGGCATTCTGTCAATAAGACATCTGAATCTGGCCCGGAGCCAAGCAGGTCCAGAGGTGGGGGGGTTAACGATGGATTGTGTGTTACGTCAAATGGCCTCACCATGTCACCGAAACACTGCATGTGACATTTACAAATTATGCTCTCGGAGCACAAAGTCAAAGATCTCCAGTATAGCCTTCACGGACTGTTGGGGCAAGTGCTGTCAGCGAGAACCGATGAAGGTGAGCACGGGGCACACACCCATATGCTTGGCGTAGATTTGAAGCTGTGGCACTAAAGGCAGTTATTGCCACATAGTGCCCTCTGTCGACAAAACATGAACACAGCAGACATGCACAGCAGAGACACACAGCACAGATCCAGTAGGGCTTGAACAGAAGCAGGAGCACGCAGACACAGAAATTGATCAACGTTCCTGAAAAGTAACAGAAAAAGGCCTGGAAATGTTACAAGCCCTGCTGATCCGTAGCTAATTTCCTTCCTGCCACCCGTGTTAAACGACCTGTCACCAATTAAACTGGTGCCAATCAGCAAATCTTTCACGGTGCCGTTGGCGTTTGCAGGTGCTTTTAAATCAGCCGGAGCATATCCATTATTCAAGAAGCCACCTCTGGCATCAAGCTGTGTTAATGACTACGGCCTGATTTCTCATCTGTCATTTACGTCCAAAGGTGTGGCTGCTGGCTTATCTTCAAAGCTAAAATCTAAAACACTTCAGTCTGGTTATAGCCACAGCACCACCTTCCACAGGCCGCTCTGATTAACATGAACAGTGTTATACTTGTGAATATGGACAAGTAGGTCATGTGCCAGAGTAGAGATTAAGTACCACATAAGGTGTATAACGTTAATTGTGGCGTTCACATAATTCACTTTGGCCACATCAATCACTTTATGCCACCTCAGGTATTACCGACAGGTGAAATATCTGGTCTGGACTCATGGCCTACGAGAGACCATTTGCCATACAGTCCATTTTAGGTAGTTTCTGCAGCCTTTCACATCATTGCATTGCCTTTCCCGTCATTGGAGCATCTGGGGACGGCCCATAAATGGATGCCATTGCATGTTTCTTATGTATCCCGTTGGGTCTTGTGAAGAATTCAGAATTTGTATCGAGCTCGCGTATGCAGTGCGCATGGCTTTCCACAAGGGCTCCATGTCAGGCCCCGTTGTGCTCTTTGCGATCTGGGCAGTTGTCTGCGCGACAGTTGCTGACGCGAGGAACGCCATCCCACACCGGGCTGTGTTCGCCCCATCCTGCATTGGATTGGATGGATGCATTTAGGCATTGATGCTCATCGCCCAATAACAGCCCAGAGCCATCGGTGGAAATTCCACAATTCTGTGTTCTGGATGAGTCTCTCCAGAGGGATCAACCACTGTTGAATTCTCCACAAAGTGGTTTCTTATTTTATCGACCCCCTGGAGAGGTGATGGACTGAGTCGACCCCCGACCAGGATTTAAACTTGCGACCTTCAGATTGCAAGCCGCTCGCTCTGCGGCTGAGCCACCTGGCCAGTTCATGGAACTAACTACCCCGTACGATCCTTCTCGGACACCGTGATCAGCGAACTCCCGTCTGCGGGCGGTGCAACCAAACCCATCCGTCTGGTGCCACCGATGGAGCTGTCGTAAACTTATCTCAACTTTCGTGACACAGACACCCATTACAAGTTTGGCCCTGTGCTTCACTGCCTGGTGTTAACTCGGACCCCCGTACATGTTTACATTGGGTCAAGAACATGTGGGCAGTCGGCCCGGGGCGCAGTGGGTGGGGGTAGTGGAGGGGGTGGGGTGTCAGTGATGGTGAAATGATGGGAGGGTTGAAACTGCCTTTCAAGTGTTTCGGTCAAAGGTCATCAATACTCCCGGCAAATGTGGGTGTGGGAATATGTATGAGACTGGAAGCATGGCTCGGTTTAATTGTTGTATATACATAACGTCGTCGTTCATGCAAATTCCATCTTATAATGAAATGGAGCCACAGATAAACGGGAAGGTAACAATTGCCCAAGCACTGCAATCCCCTATATATTAAGGTGTTTTCAGCCACCTAATGAGTGTTTAAACATTTAATTTCAAGGGGTACGCAATGAGCATGCTTTAAGAAAAAGGAGGGGGGGGGGGGTGAGGGGTGTTGTATATGGTTGAAATCTGTGTGGCGAATATCTGAGCGCGGTGTGACGACGATGCGCGATGTTTCAGATCAAATCATCGAGAAGGACGAAGGGCCCTACTACACGCACCTGGGAGCCGGCCCAACGGTGGCAGCCGTACGCCACCTCATGGAGACGAGGTCAGTGGCTCAAAGCCTCACGCGGTGTTTGTACGGGCCCACCAATTACCGCCCCCACCCCCCCTTTTTCCAGCGGCGCGTCAGAGCCGTGCGGGGGGGTCGCGCTCGATGATCCCGTGGAATTTGGGATGTTTTGACCCCACACCAGTTACATTGCACGGGGTTTTTTTTAGCTATGGGAGGAACACGGAGAAATCTCACGCAGAACGGGCAGAAGAACGTACCAACTACACGCAGAGACTGTGCCCCCGTCGGGGATCGATCCCAGATCCACTGCGCCCACTCTATATTTTTCCTTTTCAAGACCGCGGTGCTATATATGTAGATAAATGTGAAGTTATTTTTTCGTTAATTGTGCTTTTGTACACGCACGGCTGTCGCGACAGCAGTAGGATTTCCAAATAACGGTGTAAAATATCGAGGTGGATTGATTGAGTTGCCGTTTTGAACCACATTGGTGGCCAGGTTACCGTCTAATGCACTTCTGTTTGGGGAACGTGGCCGGCTCTCTCTGCAGGTTCGGTGAGAAGGGCAAAGCCGTGCGGATCGAGAAGGTGGTGTACACTGGGAAGGAAGGCAAAAGCTCCCAGGGCTGCCCCATCGCCAAGTGGGTGAGTGAACTATGAAACTATTTATAAACTACATATTATTTTCATTTTACCAGATAATGCCCACTGAGCTATGTAGCTCCTTTATCAGAAGCGACCTGACCGCAAATGATATATCAACGAAAGTGGCTTATCTCCTGGAAATTCATAGCATCCAAATACTCTGATCGGATATTTCTAAATGTGGAGAGAACAACCGGGAGGACCCGGAGAAAAATCCACGCGACCACGGGGAGAACATGCAAACTCCAAATGTACAAGCGTCATGGTTGGGATTCAACCCACGACCTCATGTATGCCGTGCGAGATAGATAACATCTCGCCACTGGCGGTGTGGACGGGAGAAGATGTGGCCGTCGTCGTCCTATTCGCACACACGAACCTCTTCCGGCAGCTTCTTGCGTGGAATTGCGCCGCAGAGTTTTTTCATTGCGAGCAAAAACGTCTTAAGGATGGCCCCACTGCGCCCCCTAGGGTGCATTTTTGTTTAAGGGTTTGATTTGGCAATTGAATTGATTTGCCAATCGAAGAGTGAGAGCCATATGCGCGATGTGTTGCTTAAGTTTGAAGTGTATTTTGTTTAACTAAGATGATAATCTTTAGTAGTTAAAAAAACGTTGAAAAATGTTGTTTGCATGAAGTGTCATCGGTAAAACAATGATACCAGTGCAAATGTTTTTTTAAAGCTTAACAATTTAAGCCAAAGCGTCGTCGCATAGCCAGCAATATTAACAGGGGGGAGACGTGGACATGACATAATTAAAATGACCTCACTTCGTATCGCGTTGTATTTTAAAATCAATCCAGAACAAAACCGTTTTGGATCATCAACCAATTTGTCTGTATTCGTGAGTGCCATCCCATCGCTGGCCTGCCAAGTCCTGCGCCTAGTGTGGCAGGTATGTATATTAGCAAGCGTCGGTGCTCTGCAAAGGGGCCTGTGTAAGTGAGCGGTGGCTGTGGCGCGGGGTGGGGGCCTGGCAGGTCCTGCGGCGTGCCAGCGAAGAGGAGAAGCTGCTGTGCATCGTGCGCGAGCGTGCCGGTCACCGGTGCGAGAATGCCGTCATCGTCATGGCCATCATGGCGTGGGAGGGCGTCAACCGGGGGCTCGCCGACCTCCTCTACAACGAGCTCGCCTCGACGCTCAACAACTACGGCGTGCCCACCTGCCGGCGATGCAGCCTCAACGAAGAGTGAGACCGATCGTCACGCAATGCGCGTTGCTTAAAAGTTCCCCGAGTTTTTAATGATTTTGTTTTACCCCAGGTGAGAACTCGAAGAGAGAGAGAGAGGGAACAGGAGGTGTAGAAGGCTCATTTGCAAAGAGCGTTGACCTGGTAGCAATTCGATAACCATCTATTAATTGCTTTTTCGATTTGCTCGGCTGCATCAGATGGTGGGAGGATCTTGCAACAGAAATGTGACCAGATTATGACGTGGCCTAATCCAACATTTTTTTTACGAATCATACTACGACGGTGATTAAATAAACAAACGTTTGACAAAATTGACGCTGCTGGGCACCAAACTGACTGAGTCTCGTTGTGCGCGTGTGCGCGTGTGTGCGTGCGCGTATGCGCACGTGTGTGTGTGCGCGCGTGTGTGTGTGCGCGCGTGTGCGCACGTGTGTGTGTGCGTGCGTTTGTGTGGACTCGTCGCGTCTGCCCCTCCTCCGCGTGGCCCGCCCGTAGCCGAACCTGCGCCTGCCAGGGCCTGGACACCGAGACTTGCGGAGCCTCCTTCTCGTTCGGCTGCTCCTGGAGCATGTACTACAACGGCTGCAAGTTTGCGCGCAGCAAGTACCCGCGCAAGTTCAAGCTGAACGGAGATGACAGCTCCAAGGAGGTGCGCGCGCCAACGGCTGTCGTCCCCCTCCCTACCTTCTACCCAGAGGTCGCAAACGGGTTTTGATTCCTTACCCGTACCCGGCCGCACCAGGGTCGCAAACGGGTACCCGTACCCGGCCGTACCCGGGTAAGGTACGGGTATCGGGTACCTGATTGCGACCTCTGGGATGAAGCCATGTTGCAGGCGTGGGTGGGTTGATTCTAGGAACTTGAATTGTGAGAAGAGACAAGACGTTGGGAAATGAGTGACAAATAGTTACTCACTAGTGACTCACGGCCTACCCATACCCGGCCGCACCAGGGTCGCAAGCGGCTACCCGTACCCGTACCCGGCCGGGTACGGGTAGACGGGTATCGGGTATGGTACGGGTATCGGGTACCCGGTTGCGACCTCTGAGGCGCGGTGATGTGACCCAGCCCGTGGCGCGTTCGCCGCTTGTGGCGGCGGTTCGCGGTTTGAATCCAGCGGCTGCCCTGATTCTAACGCTGCGGGTGCATGAACCGTAAATGTACGCGCCGTCTGCTTGCACGGTGGACGTTGAAAGGGTCCCTTGTTGTCATTCGCAAGAGAAGGCCAAGCTGCGTCGGCGTGGGTGGGTCACCGAGTTTGTGTTTTGCGGCGATAGGAGGAGAAGCTGGAGTCTTACCTGCAGGAGCTGGCAACCCACGTGGGGCCGGTGTACAAGCAGCTGGCCCCAGACGCTTACACTAACCAGGTATTGCACATGCCACCCACACGCACACCAATACCAATACCCGCCATTCGCCACTAAGTGACGGTGACGTCACCACGGTGCTTCTAACAGGCCAGGTGCACTTTGAGGCCACGTGAAGTGTCGAAGGCTCGCTGACAGGAGGTCTCGGGACAGACCCAGGTGACATGGGTTGGCTGACTGAGATGACTGGTAGATGCACTAGCTGTAACCCCTACTGTGCCAACTTGCTGTGTTTTAGCCACCCGGCGCTCCACTCATTGTTGTGAGCGTCGCTCCTCTGCCGTACGTTGTTGCTGGAGGGCGACTGCCTCTAACTACCCAGTAGCGTCCTTCATGAGCCTCTTCCATAGAGGCCAATCTTGACACCGCTGGTACCAGTCGTGCCCGTTTAGCCCCCTCTATGCGGCCTAACAGAAGCTGCTTGAGCATGCGGTGGCTGCGCATGCGGGCTACATGACCCAGCCAATGCAGCCTTGCCACACACACACACGCACACACACGCACACACACGCACACACACGGGAAACGTGGGAATTCACGCATTGTGATGTTGAGAAAGGAGCAGCCAGCGCCAAGGCGTGGTGGCTCTGGCAGAGGGGGGGTTGACTCAGCCCGCTGTTCGTCACTCGGAGCTTTCGTTTATACGGCAAGGCATGGCGCGACGCCGACACACCACTGCCGCCCTCTCCTGGTTAGGTGGAGCACGAGGTATCCGCCCCCGACTGCCGCCTCGGCCTGCAGGATGGGCGGCCCTTCTCGGGCGTCACAGCCTGCGTCGACTTCTGCGCCCACGCTCACCGCGACCAGCACAACATGCCCAACGGCAGCACCGTGGTACGCTTGCCAGTCCCGCCGGTGTCACCCCACCGCCCCCAATCCACCACCCCTCCCCCGTGAAAGCAACCCTGACCACCTTGCAATTTGTATTTGCACGATTTTTACAGCGCAAGGCTACTATCACAGAAGTGCCGTTTCACAGACGACCGTAGAATGTGGTGGTTTCATGGGAGGGTCGGTGGGGGGTGACGCTGGTGTCTTTTTTTTTCCAGTTGTGTAACTTGAGTGAATTTATTAAATTTACAACATTTGGGTCAAGTGCTGCTGGCGTGCGCGCGTTCCTTTTGTACTTTTTCGAATAACGTCACGGGATCTCCCAACGTCCTCTGTCAACCGGACGGGCGCTTAGCGTGTTTATATACACACACGCCACGCACGACGCCACGCACAACGCCACGCACAACGCCACGTATGCCCGCGACGCCACCAGGTTTGCACGCTGACCAAGGAGGACAACCGGGCGATCGGCGTGGTGCCGGAGGACGAGCAGCTGCACGTGCTGCCGCTCTACAAGCTGGCGGAGCTGGACGAGCACGGCGACCCCCACAGCCTGGACGAGCGCATTCGCACTGGCGCCATACAGGTGAAGACGGCGACATGCCGGTCACGTACAAGTAACAGTAACAACGGTCACACACTGGTATCATGCGGGTAACATACCTGGTGTGCGCGCGTGCGCGTCTGCCTCGCCATTGCAGGTGCTGAGGTCGTTCCCGCGCGAGGTCCGCATGCTCGCCGAGCCCGCCAAGTCCGGTCGCAGAAAGAAAGCGGAGGCGAAGCGAGCCGCCGCGGAGAAGCAGCAAGCGGCGGCCGCGGCGGCGGCAGCGGCCGCGGCGGCGGCGGCGACGGCATCGCCGGTTCAGCCGCACGGCCTTCCCAGTGCGGCGGGGGGCGACGTGAGGGCGGAAAGGTCGCAGGTCACGCCGGGAAAAGGCTCCAAGCATGGCGGCGGCATGGGCGGCATGGCCGACGCGCAGTCCTTCACGTCGCCGCAGCACCACTCCCAGATCCAGCAGCAGCTGCAGTTGGCCGCCCTCTCTGGTTTGCAACACCCTCTCCCCTTGACAAACACGGTGCAACGTCGCGTATCCCCGACCGACGCGTCGTCTCCCTGACCGATTGAACGCCCACACCCAGTGCCCGCAGGAACGCATTTCTCCGCGTGGAAAGCAGTTTGCGCTTTTGTAGTTGTGAGGTAACCAATTTGCGCGCGGCGTAAGCTATCGTCTACGGATGTTCGCATATCTCCTTTTCACGTAGTCTGCCCACACCTCATTGCCCAGCGAGTTGGACATGTGACGTGTGCTGTATGCGGAATCGATCCGGAGGTCATACGTTTCTTGAATTGGATGTCCTGCGAATGTGGGAACAGAAACGAGGGGAGGGAATTTCCAAAGTTTGAGGCATTCGTGAGAAAATCAGGAAGAGATAGTGATGTGACCTGTGTACAATGTGGTGTCTTGGACACTTTGTGGATGAGATGAAACCGTAATGTAGACGCCTCCTCGGCATGTGTGGAGGAATCAATGAGTGTGTTGGTGGGGGGGACCTGCAGTGTGGTGTTTGAACATGGTGTGGATGAGACGAAGCGGTCTAAACTTGCTAGGCCGATTCATCACCATGCCGAGGCTCCGGTGGCGGCCGCGAGTCTTGAGTGCTGAGGGCGATTGGTTTCTCCGCGGTGTCCGATTCAGGCAACGGTCCTCAGCAGCTGGCGGCGGTGACGCCTCCCCTGTACCACGCGGCGGTGGACCCCCTGGGGCAGTACGCCGCGCTGCGCTATGGCGCGCACACGCCGGTGCCCAGCCCGCACTCGGCGCTTGCCTCTCCGCACTACCAAGGCACGCCGGCCACACCGCCCTACCCGCACGCCGGGCTCTACCCGTCGCCGCAGCCGGACCCGGCCCTGCCTCCGTACCACCCCTCGTACCACCACGCCCACCACCAAGCGCAGCTCATGGGGGCGCGGCCCACCCTGCCGCCCATCCACACGCTCATGCACCAGCACTACCCCTATCCCGCGGCAGCGTCCGCGCCGTCCCCTGGCTACCACGGGTACCAGGGTGCCGCTTTCTACGGCGCCTCCCCATTCGCCGTCTCGCCGCACTACGCCGAGGATCCGACCAGGGCGGCGATGGGCGGTTACGATCTGGGCGACGAGAGGGCGCAGGCCTACCTGGCGGCCGCGGCGGCCGCGGCGTACCACCCATCGGTGTCCCCGTGGGCCGGGCAGCTGGCGTCGTCTCCGCATGCCCACCACTCGCACCACCCGCACCACGCGCCCGGCGGCGGCTACCACCTGCAGCAGACGCAGGGCACGACGACGGAGCTGCCGCCGCCGCCCCCCCACGTGGCGTCCTCGCCGCTCAAGGTCGGCAGGGACGAGGCCACGCCGACCAAGAGGGTCAACGGGGTCATCAAGGGATTGGGCGTTGCCGAGGGCTGCCACCAGAAAATGGGCGACGGTGCGCACGCGGCGCAGGGTGCCGCCTCCCAGGTGGGCGCCGCTCACCAGGACGACCAGGAGGAGGTATGGTCGGACAGCGAGCATAATTTTTTGGATCGGGAAATTGGCGGCGTGGCCATCGCTCCCGCGCACGGCTCGGTGCTCATCGAGTGCGCCAAACGCGAGCTGCACGCCACAACGCCGCTCAGGAAGCCGAACCGCCGCCACCCGACGCGCATCTCCCTGGTCTTTTACCAGCACAAGAGCCTCAATGTGCCGCGGCACGGCCTTGCACTATGGGAGGCCAAGATGGCCGACAAAAAAGCCAAACGAGAAGCGGCGGAGATGGCCGAGCTGGAGTCTGCCAACCACCCGGCGGCCGAGGGGGGCGGCGGCGGCGGCGGGGGGCGGCGGCGGCGGCGGCGGCGGCGGCGACGTGCCGGCGGCACCGTCCGCCGAGACCCCCGTCAGCCGGGCGCCCTCCCCATCCTCGTTGTCGTCGTCGGCGGCGGTGGCGGCGAAGAGGGTCAAGGTGACCGAGGTGAAAGAAAACGTGCTGGACTTCCTGGACTTGCCGCCGATCTCGTACGCGATCAAGGAGGGGATCCCCACGCTGCGCGCGCTCTCGCACGCCACCTGTTCCGTGACGACGGCGCACTCCAAGCCCTGCACGCACCTCTCCGGGAACTACTCTCACTTCGTGTGAGCGGTGTGGGGGGGGGCACCGCGGGGGGGCACCGCGGGGGGGCACCCCGTGGCGGCACGCGTCCGCTCGCGTTTCACCGATGTCCGCGCCGGCTCGTCAGATTCGTCGCCGTTTTTTTTATCAACAAAAATACACACGTGCACGAACACACAAACAAAAACATTCTCTCAAGTTTCTCACAGGTTGCTGTACAAGTATTGAATTACTGGTTGTAAAACTGAATCTCTTGCAAAACGTAAAAATGGCAGCTTTAGCCTGGAGTCGGCATCGACTTCTGAACGGCAGCTAACAACGAGACTCATTGGCACGCGACGTGGCACCACTGCAGAAGCAAAACAACAACAAAATTGTTTAAAATGTAAGAAAAAAACTTCAAATGTGTTTTATTTCTCGGGGATGGTGTCACCGCGTCACGGGTGCTTTGTGCGTTTTTTTTATTGTATTTTTTACATTCGGTTTCTTTCACATCGAGGAGCCTCCTCCTCACTTTGGGCTTTCGCCACAATTCAGGGGTGGAGTGGGGTGGGGGAAATGTTTCGGAATTACGGGAGAAAAAAATTAACCCGTAAAAAAAGTTTTTCACTATAAATCCTTTATATGCGTGGCGGCTAGAGTCCTCTCGTCCTCTGGCTTGAGATGGCTGCCACCTACGGGTCAGATGATTGCCTGCCACCATTAAGCAATTGGTAATTAAATATAATTTTTTTTTCCTAAAAAGTGTAAAGTTATGGAAAAACAATTTCACGAAAAGAAATTGTCACGCACAACGAGTCTGTGTGCAAAATGTCGATTGGATCACGGGAAGTGGGTTAAAAAACGACCGAAAGATTTGCACGGTCGCAAGCAAGCAAGTGAACTTAATATAGAGGATTTAAAAATGATTCAATCCTTGCAGGCGAAGGCGGCCTAGGAAGAGCTATATCTGCAGCCTCGAGTCTCGCGACTCCATCTGGGTCATTTAGCGTCCCCCCACGCAGGCTTCCTGAAAGATATGCAACGATTCCGTCGCGGCAAATTACAAACCCGGCGTGAAGTAATCGCACCAGCTGATTTAACAACCTCCGCCAAAAACTCATTGGGAAACGTGTCTAATTGCAAGCTTACTACTGTACGGTCCCAATTACAAAACAACAATACCTTTTTAAAATACACCAGCAATTAAACTGCAGACAGATGCTGCGGGGAATGCGAATGAGGCCACGGTTGTTGTTGTTGGTGATGGTGGTGGCTGCGCCTACGAAGCTGCCGTTGCAAGCGGTGGCTGGTGGATAGATTTCGGTGCTGGTTGCTTTGTGATGAGAGCAAGAGAGAGTGGGGCTCTTCCTGGCCATGCCTGCCAGGTACAAGATTTGGCTTCTATCAAAAGGATCTCCTCCTCTCCTGTGAGCTGACGATCTATTTCGACCGCCCATTCTGAATCGCAAAGTGACGGTGTTGCCAGTGAACGAAACGAAACAAATTCTACAACTGCAACCAATATTAAGACCTGCTTTAAACGTGAAATGTCTTTAAAAAAACACACACGTCGGAGGTGACATTTTAAACCACCCGATTCCACGCAGCGGTGCTTAACGGGGACGAGGGTTACGGCGGGGACGGGGTGCTACGTTTGCCGGTGCTCGTGCGGAGTCGGGAATGCCGAGTTTTCGTGGTTCTATGCAAGCGAGGCGTTGGGTGTAGCCGTGTTGGGGGGGGCGGTGGGGTGTGGGGAAGGCGGTGGGGGGGGCCGTGCGCTCACATCGATCGCTGCCAACCCCCCCCCCACGCTCCTGGTGCTGCCTCGTGCCTTCGAGGTTCACAGGCTCCCACTTACCCCACCATCCCCCCCCACCTCTGTCACCCGCGGGTGTTACTTCACTTCTCCGTCATCACCGTCGGCGGTCGTCATCATCATCATCGGCCGAGATTGCCAAGCGTCTGTTTTCATTATGTTTTATTTACTGTAGGCGACGGCGATTATGACGTCTACCGGTCAACAACGGTCATCGCAAAGTGTGTGACGCAACAAAACTCTGGTGCTGATCGGTCACTTTTGAAGTTGGTTTACATCAATCCGGTGCGTTTTTATTGGGTGTGCGGTTTGCGTGTTTTACCTTTAGCCTAGAAGACTTCTTTTTTGTCGTCGGTGAGGTGGGGTTTTTTTTTTACACATGTAAAATTGCATATAATAATGATATTGTGATTTTTTTTTTTACTATGTTTTGTCGAGGGATTTTACGATTTTAAAGCAAAACAGGCACGTAAACGTTGCTAATTAGGGTGTTGTGCGTGCGTGCGTTACAAGTAAGCGTATATTGGGATTTTCTAAGATTTCTCGAGTTTGCTGGATGCTATTGGTGCTCAACATCACAGGGACTTTGACTTGAGGAGTTTCGCGACACTGTCTAGAAGAACTGCGTTCATTACAAAGCGATTTTAATTTACGTTCAGTTGGCGGGGGGGGGGGGGGGGGGGGCCGGGTGGGGTGGGTGAGGATGGCGGCACTGGTGGTCAGCGTGGGGGGGTGCCCCCCCCCAAGCCCCCTTTCCTTCCCCGCCGGGGTAAGAGGCAGTGCCGATTGAGCTCCTGCCTTCCGTCGTGTGTAGTTTGTGTTTTTTTATGAAATTTTTTTTTTTTACAGGGTAGCGATGCATTTGTTAGACAAGTTGTCTTTATAATAATAAGAATGACGATGATTCTTTAACCGGTTACCATTGTAGATTTACAATTTTCTGTTAAAGAAAGCACTTTTTCACTTGATTTTAAGTAACAACTTGAAAACGCTAAGCGAATTTTTTTTTTTTTGCGGGAGTGCGATTTGGCGCGTCCTCGGCATCTGTGTCGGGCGCTACTTCCGTTGCCGCTCAACAGCAAACCCCCCCGCCCCATCTCTCTCTTCTCCCCACTGCAGGATCTGCAGCCTACTGTATAGAAAGATGTAATTGTTCAACTTACTCTCTGGCTCTCTCCACAACCTGGGTTGAACACACATACTGTATTCGTTATCGAGAATAAACGAATGTTTAATTCTAAATACGTGTTGGTAAAAATAGACATTTACGAAAAAATGTACATCGTGCTATCGTCGGAAACGACGAGGGGTGGTGAGGTTAGCAACTCTGTGAATCTTTTTTGGGGGGGGGGGGTCCCTCTTTTTTAAAACTGAAGCATTTATCCATCGCGATAAATAGTTGCTGGTTTCCTTGAGGCAGGAACCGCCCCCCCCTCCTCCCCGCTAACTCTGAGAATCTGCAGGTGAAACAGAAAAGGAGAAATCCTCGGTGAGGTTCGAGCGTTTATGCAACTTTTCATTGGGCAAAAAAAGGCTCTCGCAAAATCGGCTCTGGCCCTCCCGACATTTTGCTTTTAAAACGGGGAAGAAAAAAAAAACCTATACAAAAAATACTTTTTAAAAATTCCTAATTAAAAAAAGTTGAAGTCATTTTCAGATAACTTTTGAGAGTGTCCTGACAAACATGGTGCTAACTTCCTGCAGTTATTAAGGAATAACATGAAAGCAAACACTTTTTTTGTAAAACAGATTTCGACTCGTGGAGCCGATCGCAGTGTGCTAAAACGACGTTGCAGGTAGAGACTGCGAGCGGCGAATGAAATACCTCAACTCTCAAGTCTATAGCGCGAGGTGTGGCTGTGCTTTTTCAGGAGAGATCAGCATGTGATTGTTGGAATACAGCAGTTGCCCAGGAAACACTTGAGGTCAGGTCGTCGTCGTCATCGGCGGCATCCATCGTTTGTAGCTCTGGTGAGGGGGTCCCTCCTTGTCCTCTGGTGAGGTCTGGTGCTGCCTAGTGAGATCTGTGGGCGGGGTGAGGATCTCCTGGTTCTGGTGTGCGAGGTCTCTTTGTCTGCTTTTGTCGGTCTCTGGCTGGGCCTGTGTGGGTATCTGGCGAGGCCTGTGAGTGTGTGTGGCCGAGGCTTGCGGGTGTTCGGCAATGCCTGTCATGCAAGCCGTTCATTGGCTATAATCGTGAAGATTCGGAGCAGAACTCGAACCATCCCTCGTAGACTTGATACAGCGTCAGAGTTTAAAACAGGAGAAAGGTCATGTGTGGGCATGAGCTTCAAGTTTGTTACGGTCAAGGGGTTGCCTGCCTTTCTTGTTTTGTGACTTGAACTCATTTTCTTTCGAAGAAAAACACAAGGAAGATCAGGGATAAGCTTTAGTCTTTTTCTGCCTGTATTTTCGCTTGTATGTATTTTATTTTTTTCTAAATCGGAAGTGTGATATCCTTCAGGGGTTGGAGCGGTTGGTGTTTTTAATCTTCATTTTGTAAGTGTATTTTTGTTGTGTGTATTGCCGTGTAAATTGTTGTATTTAGCCCAAGGCCTTTGTAATTGTGGTTTTTCTTCAGCCAGGCGGCAGCCTGTTGTTGGATGAAATATAATTACCTTACTGCCTGCCAATAAAATACAAAAAAAAAATACAGAATTTAGTAAATTTTTGTTCGATTTTCTTTGGCAAACTATTAGAATGGATTCGGTGGCTGTTTTTGTTTAACGATGCCCCTCCCCCCCCACTCCCGTGTAGCTGACGAGTTGCCCTCGCAGGGCAATGCTCGCCCATTGCGTAACTATTTCAGTTTGGTTTGAAAATGACCATTACAATATTAAGCAAAAGGGTGGGGGGCGGGGGTAGTCCTGGTAAAACCATGCCAACGTCATCGTGTGGTTGGCCCAACGTTGGGCCAACGTTTGGCACGTGTTGTTGGGTCCCCAACGTTTGGCTCGTGCTGTTTGGGCCCAAAGATTGGCTCGTGTCGTTGGGCCCAACCGTTGGGCCCAACCGTTGGGCCTGTGCCATTGGGCCCAACCGTTGGGCCTGTGCCATTGGGCCCAACGGCTTGGGCCCAACCGTTGGGCCTGTGCCATTGGGCCCAACCGTTGGGCCTGTGCCATTGGGCCCAACGGCTTGGGCCCAACCGTTGGGCCCGTGCCATTGGGCCCAGACATTGGCCCGTGCCATTGGGCCCAACGGCTTGGGCCCAACCGTTGGGCCTGTGCCATTGGGCCCAACCGTTGGGCCTGTGCCATTGGGCCCAACGGTTGGCCCTGTGCCATTGGGCCCAACGGTTGGGCCTGTGCCATTGGGCCCAACGGCTTAGGCCCAACCGTTGGCCCTGTGCCGTTGGGCCCAACGGTTGGCGCGTGTGGTTGGCCCAACGCTGGCCCCCCGACTCTGCCCCTGACGACGTTCAATGTTTAGGGGCGCACCGTGCTTGCCACTTCGGACGTCAAAAAGATTACGTGCCCGCGGGAGGGGGGGTGCAGATGGTGCCAGTTGTGGAGTGAGCGCGTGCCCAGGAGGTCGTCTCGGGGGATGGGAGTGCGAAGTGCGTAGGGCACGACTACAGCCCCCCCAATGGGAGCTCCAAATCCCTGTTACTTTCCTTTATTTTTTTGTACTTAGTGTTCATTTATCGTCATTTATTTCATAGCGTATTTTTTTTTATTATTCTAATAATTATTAAATGGGTTTGACTGAGGATTATACGTAATATATGAAATTGTATTGTAATGAATTGAGAAGGTAATTGATTGGAATTAAGAGAACTGTAATCATTCCTAATATGCTGAGTTATTGTGGGTATCTGTATTTTTTTTATTTATTTCATGCACTCAAGATATGGTTCGCTGTAGAAATGTGTACACCCCCCCCCCCCCGCCCGCCCCCTCCTGTAATATTTCTTGAAAGGTCGACTTCTTGCAGCAGCGCAGAATTTCCAAATCTTGAAAGCATTTAAACTGGATGTTTCCCATCTCATCCCTGCTCTTCCGAATACTCGGCAGTACTTTTTAGTCCACTATGTTGAACTGCGTTCCTGCACGTTGTTGTTCCCATTCACGTGCGTGGGATGCTGGCTGTTGCAGTAATGGGTTTCCTTTTTATTTTCCTCCTCCATATCCTAATATTAAAAACGTTGAGCTGCTCTTCACGTTTGCGCACTTGGTGGTTCCTTTTCGCGCGCGGCACACCACCGCCGCAGTTTCGCCGTGGAACGCACCACGCTGTCGGTGTGTCGCGCGGGACGCTGGCGTTGTTCGTGTGACACTGGACTTTGTAGCGCGGGACGCTGGTTTTGCTATTGCGACGCTGTCTGTACGAGTGCGGGACACTGGTGTTGTTCGCGTGACACTGGTGTTGTTCGCGTGACACTGGCGGTATCACGCGGGACACTGGTGTTGCTTGTGTGGCACTGGACGGTGTCGTACGGGACACTGGCGGTATAAGCGCGGGACACTGGTGTTGCTCGTGTGACACTGGTGGTGTAGTGCGGGACACTGGTGGTGTAGCGTGGCATTGGCCGGTGTAGCGCGGGACTGGTGTTGGTTGCGTGGCACTGGCCGGTGTAGCGCGGGACACTGGTGTTGCTCGTGTGACACTGGTGGTGTAGCGCGGGACACTTGTTGGTTGCGTGGCACTGGCCGGTGTAGCGCGGGACACTGGTGTTGCTCGTGACACTGGTGGTGTAGTGCGGGACACTTGTTGGTTGCGTGGCACTGGCCGGTGTAGTGCGGGACGCTGGTGTTGCTCGTGTGACACTGGTGGTGTAGCGCGGGACACTTGTTGGTTGCGTGGCACTGGCCGGTGTAGTGCGGGCCACTGGTGTTGTTCGTGTGACACTGACGGTGTAGTGCGGGACACTGGCGTTCCTCGCGTGACACTGGCGGTGTAGCGTGGCACAAGTGCGGCCTACATAGTGTGTGTGGGAGCTGCCGCAGCAGTGTAATGGTCAGTCCACTGGACTTGTAAAACGGAGGTCACCGGTTTGATTCTATCACCCACTTCCACCAGCAGTGGCTTTGAGAGCAAGCAATTGCAAGGGGGGGTGGGGGTCGCGCACCTTTCACCCTTTTGATTTCACCTGCAGAGAAAGTAACGCCAATGTACAACGTGTAAGCACTGTTAAATTCTTTATTCTTATACGCAGTTTTTCCAACAAGTTAAATGAAAAAAAAAACAATCTAATACCTGTCGTTTTGAAATCCATTTGTTCTGTTTGCCACCGGTGTTTAACAAGCGGCGCTATCCGGAGACGGTTCCACGCCAACCGAACCACGGTTCCGGTGCGCACGCTGCGGTATTTCAAGCGTGGCGCCGCCTCCGGTTCGCTCTGCTGCCCTTTTGTTCGGTAAGCACCCCGCGTCGCGGTCTGCGCCCACCCCCCCCCCCCTCCACGGAGCAAGTCCACAACTACTTAAGAACCGGGGTGGGTGGGTGGGGGGGACTTGCAGCCCCATCGGAACATCGAGATGAGATTGGAACGTCCTCGCCGCCCCAACTGACGTGTCGAGGTCGTCCCCATGGGAGGGGGTGGCACCTTTGCGAAAAACTGCGCGGTTCGCCCCTTACCAGAGGGCTTTGCCTCTCGTTTCGTTTGCCCCAACCCTCTTGCTCTCGGTTTATTACAGTCGTCGCGTGAACACGTTTCCTGCCTCGCTCTGCTGTGCACGGCACACGTGCAGCGGTGCATTGCCGGTGCCGGCAGTGCAGGGAGGGGGGGGACCCATTGGAAGAATTATTTCGTTTTTATTAGTTTGCTTTATGCCCAGCGGTGCCACTTACAGTTGCACATTTGAGCCGTCTGTCACGGTACACATGGCATGCCCAGGGCGAGGTCTCGCAGGGGGGTTGGGAGACGACAAGCCCCCCCCCCACCTCCCCGTAATATTGGCAGCGTTGTTGCACCACCGTGAAATGAGCGCGTGCATCGTCCAGCCGGCCACTCTGGGCACGCAGAGCGCCGCTGAAAATAAACCCCGATGGAAATTTCATAATCGGAGTCTGGGGCGGATGGCCGCGGCGAGTAAAGCTTGTGGCGTACACCCTCCACCACCCGACATAGCCAATTCATAAAGAAGTCACGTGCTGATCAATCTGCCAATTTGTGGTTCAGCAGCACCAGCTGTGTCGTTCGCAATCCACGCATACGTTATCTCCCTCGCCTGCTATGCATAGAGGATTGTATATTTGGAGTGTTCTCTGGTTGTGGTCACGTGGGTTTTTGTCTGGGTCCTCCGGGTTTACCCTCCACATTCAGAAACATGTATTCAGTTTACTTTGATTACGACGATACATCCCCACGTGTGATGGCTGATGATATCGTGTGTGACCCAACTTGCCCCTGAAACAGACCTCGTAGCACAGTGGCCTCTATACCTGGTAAAGTTTCCATTAGAAATGTGAAAATTGTTCAGTGTTGTTAGATTGCTGTCCAACACACTGCTGATCATTTTGCTGCTGAAGCAGTTGTAACGTGGCACGGTTGTTCACGTGACAACTTCATTGTCTGTGTGTCAGAGGTCGCAAACGGGTTTTGATTCCTTACCCGTACACGTAGCCGGCCGCACCAGGGTCGCAAATGCGTACCCGTACCCGGCCGGGTAAAGGTACCCGTTCCCTACCCGTACCCGTACCCTACCCGAAATGAGTGACAAACGGTTACTCACCAGTGACTCACGGCCTACCCGTACCCGGCCGCACCAGGGTCGCAAACGGGTACCCGTACCTGGCCGGGTACGGGTAGCCGGGTATCGGGTAGGGTTCGGGTATCAGGGTACCCGGTTGCGACCTCTGCTGTGTGTCAGGTGGAGGAGGGTGTAAGACACATTTAACTTAAGCCATCTGACCTAAAAAAAATTCTGTAACATGAGTTGAGAAAGCCTCCGACGTGTTTACACTGATGGGACGTGCCACTTGTTAACTGATGTTATCGCGTGTATTTTATTCAGACTACTTTTGAGTATATAGTATTACAGTGTGCAAATTTTAATTGGTGGTGTTAAAGTTATAATTTCGCTTACGACTAAAAAAAAAATGTTTTCGTTAAGCCGATATAAAAATATGCTTAGCGCGCGATTCGTGAATTCAAGTGAATGTTCTAAAATAATAATAGCTCTGCAGGTTTACGCTGCACTGTTTAAAACACATTTGTTTTTTTTCTTCGAACAGAGCACGCAACATTTCAAACTACACTTCCGCTTATTTTTTTAAACTAAAAATTCTATATATATATTTTTTAAATATAATCAGTTCTACAACGGAGCGAATGATTTATTTTTTAAGTGTCAATAAATAAAATCGCCGGTACCTAAAAGGCGAATTCGTCCATCGCATCATCCTCCTTCGGGAGGGCGAATACCGTTCACTGACGTGACAGCGTGGGAACGTCGCGGGAACGTCGCGGGAACGACGCCCGAACGTCGCGGGAACGTCGCGGGAACGTCGCGGGAACGTCGCGGGAACGTCGCGGGAACGTCGCCCGAACGTCGCGGGAACGTCGCCCGAACGTTGCCCGAACGTCGCCCGAACGTCGCCCGAACGTCACCCGAACGTCGCCCGAACGTCTACGCGCCGCGCTGCTCCTCGACTCACCGCAGCGTTTGCGGCAGAAATCGCACGACCCAGGAAAGAGGGGGGAACAAAAAAAAATCGGCACCGTTTCTCTGCCGTCGGAACACACGCACGAGCACTAATCTCCGCGTAGAAATGCTTGGTTCTCCCAAAGTGTACGCAGAAACTCGTGACTCTTCCTCGGGGTGGGGGGGGGGGGGAGAAATAGCCACGTGGAGGAAGAATTGAAACGCAAAAGTACAACCATTGCGTAGGTGGCTCTGTTGGAGCCGATGTGCGATGGTTGCAACAGCAGGGCATGAGCTACTGCTGCTCCTGCAGCAGGGCATGAACTGCTGCTGCAGCACATGGTGCGGCCGAGGGATTCTGTTGCGCGTGGCGTTGGCCAACGCGGCCGCCGCCTCCTCCGTGCGCTCGTCTCTCCGCCAACGTCCGTCGCGTAATTCCACCAAACTCCGACGGCCGTATATTTTAGTTAACAACGATCGTCTCCGTTTGCATTAATGACTGCGTGTTAACGACGGGGTTATATTGACTTAGCTTCAGCGCTTTCGCTTATTACAGCTATATCTCAAAGCGCAACGCGTTTCGATCGTTTTCACGTTTGCCTGCACGGAGGGGGGGGGGGGGGGGGGGAGGCGCGCGGATTTCCTCGCGCCGCAAGGTGCCCGGTGGCGGTATGGCGGTGGAGACCCGGGGGGGGGGTGGTACGGGCACCGTCGGAGTCTGGAGCCAGTGGCCACGTCAGCATGAACACCACCTGGCAGAGGTGCACGCGCCAGCATTGGAGAGTTAATCATCGTGAAAACCGCATTCAAAGACGGTTCTTCTAAAGATACATTCATGGTGGTGGGGGGGGGGTTATAAGGTGTGTGTGAGAGATCAGACTTTTGCAACCTTGAAGATGCAAGTTTTGGGGTGCCGTCTTACTTTTTCCGGAGCATCTTACGATCCGGAGAATACGTCAAATGATACGAATTCCCTTTTTATTTCCAGAGCAATCTTCACCGAGTCTCAATGCGCATTTTCAAGGAAGATGCCGCTGTTGGGCTACTTGCGCAACTCCATTTTAAGCGGCGTTTGGGTTCGTGTGCAGGGGGCATTGGGAGGATGCGGAGAAATAAATAAGTATAACCCGTAAAAACAAAGCTTTTCACTATAAATCCTTTATATGCGTGGCGGCTAGAGTCCTCTCGTCCTCTGGCTTGAGATGGCTGCCACCTATGGGTCAGATGATTGTCTGCCAGTATTAAGCAATTGGTAATTATTTAATTTGTTTTCCCTAAACAGTGTAAAATTTTTGAAAAAAATTTTCACGAACATTAATTGTCTCGCACAACGAGTCTGTGTGCAAAATGTCAGCTCGATTGGATCACGGGAAGTGGGTTAAAAAACGACCGAAAGATTTGCACGGTCGTAAGCAAGCAAGCAAGCAAGCAAGCGAACTTAATATAAAGGATTTAAAAAAACCTGAATTCGAGGGAGCAACGGCTCGCGCATCTCCGCGCGATGTAGATTCTCAACCCATTTGCGGTGTTGCTGTGTGCCGTCACCTCCAAGCCCAAGGCTACAGCAGGCCCCGGCATTCCCCCGTCCGGGGGGGTGTGGCGGTGTGGGGTCCAGCCTCTGGGCTCACCTGTCCGGGAGTGGTTCGTGTGCGCCGCCGCCGCCGCATCAGCACGTGGTGTGGCGCTCCGTGATTGTGGGGACGTCGTCACCTTGGAGGGGGAGACAAAAAGACGTTTGCCGTGGTTGTGCACGCTCGCCACGCTCGCCGCTAGCCGCTCACCGCGACTGGCCAACTAGAATGGGTCGGCAACTTGAGAGAGGATGGCGCCCAATCTTCTTCGACTGATCGTACGGCCGCCGATGCAGAGCAACGACTACAATTTCACATTGAGGTGGTCAAGCCGGACAGCCGCGTCAGGAGCGGCGGTAGCGTGTGGTGTGTATCGGCCGTGATGTCTCCTTGGGATCACTGCGTCGTCATACGTTGATACGGTCTGTTCTGGACGACCGCAGTGGCACACCGCTACCGGCGAGTTTTTAATTTTCCATTTGTGCATCGTCGGCCATCCGCTGCTGCCATGCTTTGTGCAGTGGAAGTGGTTTTTGAGTGGACCATGGGCAGGGCCAGATCATGGTCCCGTGAGCCCCCCCCCCCTCCCCTCCCCGGCTTTCCTATATTGGTGTCTTTCTTGCCTTCCTCCTCGCAAAATCATCCACTAGATCGTCAAAATCTCGCTGTCTGACAAGGTCTGACTCCATTGACACAGGTGACAATGAGCTGAGATGTGCTTGGCACATGCTACTCCGCAGTTGATTTTTTATCCTGCCTAAAAGGGAAAATGTCCGCTCACCCTGGCAGTTGGTCATTGGCAAAGTTAGACAAATCCGAAGTGCCACGAAAACATTGGGGAACACTGACTGAAGATTAGGTGCCTGCAACGTCTCAAGCAATTTAGTTGGGCACTTCTCACCCTCAGAGTCAGACATGAAAGACTTGAATTGGATGAGTTCGTTGGCAAAGTTCATGTCCAGCTCTGATGGATATGCAGCGGTGAGTGCATTTACCTTTTCCACTATCGCATCACTTGACTTAAAGCTTTCGTGACTGCAGGAATTCATATTCTTTGGGTCTTTCGGTAAAGTCACGTAGATAGGTTCAAAGAAAATAACAAAAATGACGAAAAAAACTACGTCGTTTCGATCGCAACACAAGCGTTCGTCATCAGGATGGAGTCAACAATTATTGGGCGCGCGTGTGTGGGTGCATGTGTGCGTGCGTGTGTGTGCGGGTGTGTGTGCGTGCGTGTGTGTGCGTGCGTGTGTGTGCGTGCGTGTGTGCGTGCGTGCGTGCCCGACGTTCCAGCCTACCTTGCTGCCGCAGGAAGGGCTGCAGCTCTGCAGTCTCGAGTTGGATCTTCACCACCGACTTTTCCGCCTCCGTCCCGCCGGGCTGTGCCTGCTGCCGACAGGAGGGGGGTGGTGGTGGTGGCTGTCAGGCAAAGACAACTCGCTGCCCTTTGGCGTTAGGGGAGAGACGCCGAAGGTCAGATTCCCAGGGCTACCGACCCGTGGGCTAAACTCCTCTTGTCTGCTATCAACCCGTAGAGCTCCACACCCAAGCAAAGACAAGCACCAAGCAAACAGAGCTGCACTCTTCTTGGTTCTTTCGGTAAAGTCACGTAGAAGGGAAATAATAAAATAATAAAAATAAAAGAATTCTCACGACGTTTCGGCTACAACGCAAGCAGCCGTCCTTGCGTTGTAGCCGAAACGTCGTGATAATTATTTTATTGTTTTATTTTTATTATTTTATTATTTCCCTTCTACGTGACTTTACCGAAAGAACCAAGAAGATGAATCCCTGCAGTCACGAAAGCTTTAAACAGAGCTGCACTCCTGCAGGATCGGTGTCACCCCACAGCTCACCTCCTCCTCGTCGTCGTCATCGTCGCTGTCCTCGCCCGGCTTGCTGCTCTTCTTTTTCTTCTTCTTCTTCTTGTCCTCCTTCTTCTTCTTGTCCTTCTCGGGCATCACGTCGTCCAGCCAGCCCAGGTCGTGCTGGGACAGGATGTAGTCCATGCCCTTGCGCACGGCCACCAGGGCCAGGATCTAGCAGAGAGGGGTGCGCGCGCGCCTCGGTGAGAGCCCGCGCAGGGCAAACGCAGACAAAGATGCCCCCCCCCCCCCCCCCCCCATGTAGCCTTGCATAACTCTTGGCGCAAGCGCTGTTAGCAAGCACTGAATGAAGGCACGCGAGGGGGGTAGGGGGTGCCCGGCACCACGCCCGACCGCCTCCCCGTTCGTTGCTGGAGGGCAACTGCCTCGTAATCAACAATTGCGTCCTTCACGAACCTCCTCCACAGAGGCCGATCCTGACACCGCTGGCTACCGCTCGTCGGTAAGTCCAACCAACTCCACATCCTTCTGTAACCGCCACATCAGTCGATGTCTTCTCTAGAACGTACCGTGCCCGTTTAGCCTCCTCAATACACACACATACACGAAGACCCCCCTCGTATTGCACGGTTGGCTATGTACAGCACGAAAGAACTCCAACATACGGACTTGGGGAAAGTGCTGTTAGCGAGCGCCTATGAAAGACCGGCACGGCACACGAGTTGGTGGGGGTGGCCAGCACCACGCCCGACCGCCTTTGTCTCCCCACTGGTGATGTTAAAACATCTCTACGGAGCCGGCAAACCCCGCCAAATCCCCACCTGCCCGCCCCCCCACCCGCCCCTACCCCCCCACCCCACCCCCCCACCCCCCACAACCCACCCCCCCAACAACCCCCACAACCCACCCCCCCAAACAACCCCCACAACCCACCCCCCCAAACCACCCCCACAACCCACCCCCCCAACCCCCACAACCCAACCCCCCCACCCCCCACAACCCACCCCCCCACCCCCCCCAACCCCCCCCCCCAACCCCCCCCCCCAACCCCCCCCCAACCCCCCCCCCAACCCCCCCCAACCCCCCCCCACCCCACCCCCCCCCCCCAACCCCCCCCCCCACCCCACCCCCCCCCCCCCACCCCCCCCCCACCCCACCCCCCCCCCCCCACCCCCCCCCCCACCCCACCCCCCCCCCCACAACCCACCCCCCCACCCCGCACTCGTTCGCAATAATTCGGCCACACACGAGGGCCCATGCGTTCCCCGGGGCCCGCCATGGCTCGCGGTCGCAGCGGTCGCGAGGCGATCTCCGTACCATGACGGGGAAGATGATGGCGGCGACGGTGGACTTGAGGATCCACAGAACCGCGAGGCACAGGATCTGGATGAAGGAGAAGAGGTGGACCCGGCGCAGAGGGACGTGGCGCAGGTAGATGAAGTCCGGCTGGTGCTTGGCAGGCATCAGGAAGAGCTTTATCCGGTCCATGAACTTCGGGGACGGAGACAGAGGGCCCACCGGGGGGGGGGGGGGGGATGGTGTTGGGCAGAGAGAGCAGCGTACGGGGTGTTAGTATTTAATTTAATTTATTATTTTATCTTTATACGTGACTTTACCGAAAGAACCAAAGAATAATTCCTGCAGTCACGAAAGCTCCAAATGAAGTTTGCAGGATGTAGTCTTCTTGGCGTACGGCTGCTGATGTAGCTGCAGGGCAACGGCTACAACTTCACGTTCACGTGGTCAAGCCCAGACATCCGCGTCAGGAGTTAACGGGGTTAGTCGTTGCATCATCGCTGCGATGTCTCCTCCTTCGTATTTGTGGATCGGGGGCACTGCGTCGTTATACGCTCTACCTCTTAACGAAGGAGACATCCCAGCGAGGAGGTGATATGAGAGAGTTAGAGGCATATTGAAGCTGGCAACGGTGCCATCGGCTCCCTTTGGTGAAACGTGCGAGGAGCCACTGGGGACACATCGGTTCATTTGGAGACCAGTATGGGAACCACACGTCTGTTGAACTTCGTTCGACACCGTGCGTCGTCAACCGGAGGTGCGGGGGGGGGAGAACAAACCGAACCTAAACATAGCGCGGAAACGGTATTGAAACCGTACTCTTAGGTTTTTTCGGTAAAGTCACGTAGGTAAAAATAAAAAATAAAATAAAATATGAGAAATCAAATAATAAATCACGACGTTTCGGAGGCAACACAAGTCTCCGTCATCAGGTGGGGCCGTCACAGCTAGATTTACTGTTCTTAGGTTTTTTCGGTAAAATCACGTAGATAAAATTAAAAATTAATAAAAGTATTTTATTACATTATATTATTTTTATTTTACTTACATTAATTTTTATTTTTATCTACGTGACTTTACCGAAAAAACCTAAGAATATGAATCCTTGCAGTCACGAAAGCTTCAAATCTAGAATTAGATTTACTGTATCAAGTGTATCACTGTATCACTTGATACAGTAATTTTAGCTGTGACGGTCCCACCTGATGACGGAGACTTGTGTTGCCTCCGAAACGTCGTGATTTATAATTGTATTTCTATTATTACTTATATTATTTTATTTTCGTATTTCTTTTTACCTACGTGACTTTACCGAAAAAACCTAAGAGTATGAATCCTTGCAGTCACGAAAGCTTCAAATCTGGTATTGAAACCACAGCGATCGGATGATGATTATCAGGACCACTGGTCAGGGGACATTGCCTGACATATTTCGGATTAAACGCTCGCTTTCGACGAAGGTCCACAGCGCTATTGGTGAATGCGTTGAGCTTCGTCAATTGCGTCTGTACATCGCCGCAGCCAGCAGCATCACCAAATAATGTGTGTTATTATCGCATAAATCACCGAAGATACCACGAGGGTTGGAAACACAGGTGGAGCTCACAGGTGGCGGGGGGAGGGAAACGCGGGAGGGACAGCATGACTGCGTTTGTCTCTGTCACCCGGGGAATTCTCCGACTGTCACAACAGCAGGGAGACGGGTGAAGGAGAGGGGCGGGTGTAGATGCACCACATCTCTCTCGTGGGAAAGAGGCTGCCCCGGGCTTTCGTGTGAGCGCCGACTCACGCCCGCACACCCCACGCACACCCCACGCACACCCCACGCACACCCCACGCACACCCCACGCACACCCCACGCACACCCCACGCACACCCCCCGCACACCCCCCGCACACCCCAACGCACACCCCACGCACACCCCCACGCACACCCCCACGCACACCCCACGCACACCCCCACGCACACCCCACGCACCCCCCAACGCACACCCCGCGCACACCCCCACGCACCCCCCAACGCACACCCCGCGCACACCCCACGCACACCCCCACGCACACACCCCCACGCACCCCCCAACGCACACCCCCACGCACACCCCCACGCACACCCCAACGCACACCACACGCACACCCCCACGCACACACCCCCAACGCACACCCCCACGCACACCCCACGCATGTGCGGCCGCACATTCTCGGAGAGCCAACGAACCTGGACTCCGTTGAGAGACGCCACTCCCATGTAGAGGAAAACTCCGTAGAGGACGGGCATCGGGATGAACTGTGGAGTGGCAACACAACGAGACGCGGTCACATGGGGTCCCCCCGCCCCCCCCCCCCCCCACGGTCACACGGGGTCCCCCCCCCCCCCGTGATCACACAGGGACCCCCCCCCACCCACCCGAACACACGGGGTCTCCCCGCACCCCCCTCGGTCACGCCACGCTTTGGAGGGACAGGAGAGGGGGGGGATGTTTGGACATGGCACCGAGTACTCGTTCATGGCCGAGTCGACCAGCGGGAGTCCCGGGACCGCTTCAGATTATTCGCCGCCGATATTGACCACGAGTGGGAATTGAGCGGTGGCGCATCAAACCGCTACGGGCAAAGATCCCCCCTCCGGATAGCCTTAAACGACTGTAGGGGCAAGTGCTGTCAGCGAGCACCGTTGAAGGCCGGCGTTGCGCACGAGGGGGTGGGTGGCCAGCACCACGCCCTGCCGCCTTTGTCTCCCCAGTGGCGATGTTTACACACCGCACCAGGGGCTCATCTGAGGCTGAATCGACATGGGAGGCCAAGGATCGGTTCGGATGACCGTCACCGGTGTTGGCGCCAAGAGGGAATTGAACTGGGGTCGCCTGGGTTCGTAGCGCGGCATGCTAACTGTTGCACCACCACTCCCAACGCATACGCGGGGTGCCATGGTGGTGAGATGTAAACTACATCGCCTGGTATATAGGAGGTCGTGGGTTCAAACCCAACCCTGACGCCTGCTGTGTAATTGGAGTTAGCATGTTCTCCCCCATGGTTACGTGGATTTGTCTCCGGTTCCTCCGGTTTTTCCCTTCATATTTAGAGCATTTGGCTGCTATCAATTTCCACGCGATAAGCCGCTTCCGTTGAGCTACCACGTGTCGCCAGGTCCCTTCTGAAAACAGAGCTACATAGCTCAGTGGGGGCCTTACCTGGTAAAATAAAAACAATTTTAAATCGTTTATAGTTTAGTTTATATACAGCCGCAAAACAAAGACACAGCATTCCACTCGTGTGCCGGGTGGTAACACGAGATCTGGGAGGATGCTCCCTGATTCCGAGGTGCTCCTCAAGACGCGGCGAGGCTACGCGGAAGCGCTGCTGGTCAGTGCCGGATTATCCCAGGAGCAAAAGTAGCTACACATGTAGCTACTACATATGTAGCTACTACACATGTAGTAGCTACATATGCTGTAGCTACGGGCCCCGCACTTTCAAGGGCCCCACGCTAAATGCTTTCAAGCTATCAATTCCGGTTCAGTGATTCTGCACTTGCTCTATTACTATAGTACTATACCGCCTTCAACTTTTATGAACGACTGGGTGTTTCAGGTTAGCGATTTGTCGTATTATCTGGCTGTATAGCAAATGAAAAAATACAATTACTTTGCTATGCAAGTAAAACATTTGTGTTTTAATATTTGTCGGGTATTTATTTATTTAGGGCTCCTTTATAACATCACATGCTACAGGCCCCGCAACGAGCTTAGTCCGGCACTGCCGCTGGTACCTTGAGGATTGGAGCCATGAAGACGGAGACCCCCGTGAGCAGGAAGACGACAACCCCAGTCACCCTCTGCTCACTGCGCATAACAGTGGGTTAGTGAGCTTCATCAGTGAGTGAGCTTCAGCAGTGAGTGAGCTTCATCAGTGAGTGAGATACATCAGTGAGTGAGATACATTAGTCAGCTACATCAGTGAGTGAGTGTCATCAGTTAGTGAGCTTCATCAGTCAGTGAGATACATTAGTCAGGTACATTAGTGGCTTCATCAGTGAGTGAGCTACATCAGTGAGTGAGATACATTAGTCAGCTACATCAGTGAGTGAGTGTCATCAGTTAGTGAGCTTCATCAGTCAGTGAGATACATTAGTCAGGTACATTAGTGGCTTCATCAGTGAGTGAGCTACATCAGTGAGTGAGCTTCATCAGTGAGTGAGTGTCATCAGTTAGTGAGCTTCATCAGTCAGTGAGCTACATCAGTGAGTGAGCTTCATCAGTGAGTGAGCTACATCAGTGAGTGAGTGTCATCAGTTAGTGAGTGTCATCAGTCAGTGAGCTACATCAGTGAGTGAGCTTCATCAGTGAGTGAGCTACATCAGTGAGTGAGCTACATCAGTGAGTGAGCTACATCAGTCAGTGAGCTTCATCAGTGAGTGAGCTACATCAGTGAGTGAGCTACATCAGTCAGTGAGCTTCATCAGTGAGTGAGCTTCATCAGTGAGTGAGCTACATCAGTGAGTGAGCTTCATCAGTGAGTGAGCTTCATCAGTGAGTGAGCTTCATCAGTGAGTGAGCTACATCAGTGAGTGAGTGTCATCAGTGAGTGAGCTACATCAGTGAGTGAGTGTCATCAGTGAGTGAGCTACATCAGTGAGTGAGCTTCATCAGTGAGTGAGCTTCATCAGTGAGTGAGCTACATCAGTGAGTGAGTGTCATCAGTCAGTGAGCTTCATCAGTCAGTGAGCTACATCAGTGAGTGAGCTACATCAGTGAGTGAGCTACATCAGTGAGTGAGCTTCATCAGTGAGTGAGCTACATCAGTCAGTGAGCTTCATCAGTGAGTGAGCTTCATCAGTGAGTGAGCTACATCAGTGAGTGAGTGTCATCAGTCAGTGAGCTTCATCAGTCAGTGAGCTACATCAGTGAGTGAGCTACATCAGTGAGTGAGTGTCATCAGTTAGTGAGCTTCATCAGTGAGTGAGCTACATCAGTGAGTGAGCTACATCAGTGAGTGAGCTACATCAGTGAGTGAGCTACATCAGTCAGTGAGCTTCATCAGTGAGTGAGCTACATCAGTGAGTGAGCTACATCAGTGAGTGAGCTACATCAGTCAGTGAGCTTCATCAGTGAGTGAGCTACATCAGTGAGTGAGCTACATCAGTGAGTGAGCTACATCAGTGAGTGAGCCGCGGCTCGCTCGTGCACGGCCGCGTGAGAGTAAGGTTGGGTGAGGATGGGTGAGAGAGAGGATGGGTGAAGATGGGTGAGAGAGAGGATGGGTGAGGATGGGTGAGAGAGAGGATGGGTGAGGATGGGTGAGAGAGAGGATGGGTGAGGATGGGTGAGAGAGAGGATGGGTGAGGATGGGTGAGAGAGAGGATGGGTGAGGATGGGTGAGAGAGAGGATGGGTGAGGATGGGTGAGAGAGAGGATGGGTGAGGATGGGTGAGAGAGAGGATGGGTGAGGATGGGCGAGCACGAGGATGGGTGAGGGTGAGGATGGGTGAGGATGGGTGAGAGAGAGGATGGGTGAGGATGGGTGAGAGAGAGGATGGGTGAGGATGGGTGAGAGAGAGGATGGGTGAGGATGGGCGAGCGCGAGGATGGGTGAGGGTGAGGATGGGTGAGGGTGAGGATGGGTCAGGATTAGGGGAGAGAGAGGATGGGTGAGGATGGGCGAGAGAGAGGATGGGTGAGGATGGGTGAGGATGGGCGAGCGCGAGGATGGGTGAGGGTGAGGATGGGTGAGGGTGAGGATGGGTCAGGATGGGCGAGCGCGAGGATGGGTGAGGATGGGTGAGGATGGGTGAGGGTGAGGATGGGTCAGGATGGGCGAGCGCGAGGATGGGTGAGGGTGAGGATGGGTGAGGGTGAGGATGGGTGAGGGTCAGGATGGGTGAGGGTCAGGATGGGTGAGGGTGGGCGAGAGAGAGGATGAGAGAGGATGGGTGAGGGCGAGGAGGTGCGACTGGGCGCACCGCACTCCGAGGAACTTGGGCTGCTCGCCGGGTGCCGAGGTCTCGGTCTCCATCTTGAGGCTGTCGATGTGGGCGATGGAGAGCACGGTGGCGGCCACGTACCAGGGCAGCCCCATGAAGGAGCACAGCGCCATGAGCACCGCCACCCAGAACAGGTCCAGGTGGTACCCCGCCCCCTTCTGCAGAGCCGCACCCGCGCAGGACCACTGATGTTAGCCGGGAATCCAACTCGGGTTCAGTGCACCAATAACCGCTGCACGGACGTGACGTGGCAGAGGCACACGTGTCTCCCCCCCCCCCCCCACGTCTCCCCCCCACGTCTCCCCCCCCCCCCCCCACGTCTCCCCCCCCCCCCCACGTCTCCCCCCCCCCACACCCCCGTGGCTCCCCCCCCCACGTCGTCCCCTACCCCCCCCCCACGTCGTCCCCTACCCCCCCCCACGTCTCCCCCTCCCCCCACGTCTCCCCCCCCCCCACGTCTCCCTCCCCCCCCACGTCTCCCCCCCCACGTCTCCCCCCCCCACGTCTCCCCCCCACGGCTCCCCCCCCACGTCGTCCCCTACCCCCCCCCACGTCTCCCCCCCCCCCCACGTCCCCCCCCCACACGTCCCCCCCCCCCACGTCTCCCCCCCCCCCCACGTCCCCCCCCCCCACGTCTCCCCCCCCCCCCACGTCCCCCCCCCACGTCTTCCCCTGCCCCCCTCCCCCACCGCGTCACCCCCCCCCCCCGCGTCTCCCCCCCGCACCCCCCCCCACCGCGTCACCCCCCCCCCCCGCGTGCCTTCAGCTTGTTCTCCTTGCGGTTGATGATGACGCCCGTGATCTGCTGGTCCATGAAGATGAGGATGGTGACGAGCAGTGCGGGCACCGACGAGATGATGTACACCCACCACGGGTTGCCGCCGAACGGCTTCACGAACCAGCCGCGCAGAGGGCTCGTTGGCTACGCACCACGGGGGCATCGGGGACACGTGGTCAGAGCAGTGGCAGCAGCAACAACAACCGACTTATACTAATAGGGCTTTTCCACTTTTTTTGGCAACAAAACTGACACCTTTTGCAAGGAATCATGTTTACATTAACCACAATACTTGCAGTCAAAATGCAAAAAAACAATACTCTGATAATTTATGAATTGTCCTTGAAACTGATTGGTCCACACCAGAGACAGCTCTGGTGTGGACGCCAAAAGGCATGATGATATTCGTCATCCCAGTGAATATTGGACACGAGCCAAGCGAAAGCTCTCTGGTAAACTAAACTTTTTTATCTTATAATAAAAATACAACATAAAATAAAATTTTATGTTTTATTTTTATTCTTTTATTATTTCCCTTCTACGTGACTTTACCGAAAGAACCAAGAAGATGAATCCCTGCAGTCACGAAGGCTTTAAATCGAAATTTAAACTTTTTCATTACACCAGGTAAGGCCCACTGAGTTGTGTATCTCTTCTTCAGAAGCGACCTGGCCACAGATGACAGCCCAACGAAGTGGCTTATCATCACGTGGCAATTTATAGCGGTCAAATTCTCTAAACGCGCTTCGGTTCTAAATGTGGAGGCAAAAACCGCGACCACTGGGAGAGAGACACGCAAACTCCAAATACTATATACAGGCGTCAGGGTAGGGATCGTACCCACGACCTCCTGCATACCAGGCGAGGGAGTTAACATCTCCTAGCCACCGTGGTAACTGGTTTGGCTCTTGGTTGGTGACGTTCTGAGCCGGCGATTCGCTGCACTTAGCTCGTTCATTATATAACAACTCGCGGTTATATTACGCCCACAAAAATAACAGACGTTTCAGATCGCAGCAGCTTTTTTGGCCTAGGGGACCCCCCCCACCCGGTGGCAGCTGTCCCCATGCGGCATGAGGGCAACACAGCACCGGCCTGCGAGTGAAGCGTTCGTTTTGTCAGTCGGTCGGTCGCCCTCCGCTCTCTAGCAGGGAGCGGCCGGCGGCCGTTGTCATCATCGACTCATCGAATGAAACTCAAATAAATACGGCTCTCATTTTTTTTTATCCCCACGAAAAAAAAAATTCGACGAATAATTTCGCGACTTCGTTTCTTGCGGCGAGCGAAATTATCGAGCCCGCCGCCACGCTGCCTCGCGCCGAGTCTGAGTGGCGTCACCCGCGGCCTCGCACGCTACGTGCCGTGGCCACTCGCGAACAACACTTGCCCCAGACGGGCAGCTAAATCCTACACACACGGGGGGGGGGGGGGGTGGAATCTTTGTCTTTTGAGTGCGTGGAGTGCGGGGAGGGAGGGTGGAGTACAGGGAGGGAGGGGGAAAGAGTGAATTACCTTCAACGAAGTTGGCACTTGAAGTTTCGGGGTGTTTATGCCCAACACCCTGTCCAGCCCCGCAAATGTGAGGATTGCGATGATAATGGCAAAGTCGCTTATGAGCTTGCGACACTGAAGCCGAGTTCAGGTGAGCACAAGGGGGTAGAGGTGGCCCAAACGGAACGCCGGAGAGAGAGTGAGGAAGAGAGGGAGGGACGGAGAGAGATGACAGAAGAGGGAAAGAGGAAAGGGAGCGAAAGCATCGAGCACGGTTAAAAGCGTCGCGACAGAGCAGCCGAGAGCGTTAGTCGGGCTCGTTTGGAACGAAAGAGAAACGCGAGTGTTGATAGAGGAGCGCCCCGCGTTAGCGACAGAGACACCGTGTTAGCGACAGAGACACCGTGTTAGCGACAGAGACACCGTATTAGTGACAGAGACAACGTCGCTCTCCGTGCGTGGCAAGGATGAGCGAGCGAGCGGAGCCGCCCATCTCTCTCTCTCTCACCGAGAGCACACGCATGCCACGCCGCAGAGGATCTCGTCGCCGCTGCGACTTTCTCCAGGAGAGGGGAGTTTTATTTCCTGCCGGGCTTCGGGCGAACTCGTGAATGTGATTCCCTAACAGTCGGCAACTGCGGTGCCGTCCATCGTTGGGGGGTGGGGGGAGGGGGAGGGGAGCTTCTGGGGGGCCGTGAGCAGTGGGGGGGGGGAGGAGCAGTGGGGGGGGGGAGCTGTGGGGGGGGAGGGGAGCAGGGGGGGGGGGGAGCAGTGGGGGGGGGGGGCAGTGGGGGGGGGGCATAAAACGTGCGCACAGACGCAGAGCGGCGAGGATTGCAGCCATCGCTTCATCTCAGTGCGGAAGAGTCCGGAACGCCCTTTCATCGTTTACTTGCTTTCTCAGTTGCTATTTCAGTTACACAGTAGATCCCCTCTTAACGACCGCCCCTCTTAACGACTAATCGGTTAACGACGGGCCTCCATAGAGCCCAATGTGTAGTGTATAGTGTAGTGTATAGTGTAGTGTATAGTGTAGAGTATAGTAGTGTAGTGTATAGTAGTGTAGTGTATAGTAGTGTAATGTGTAGTGTATAGTGTAGAGCGTAGTGTATCGTGTAGTGTATAGTAGTGTATAATGTAGTGTAGAGTGTAGTGTATAGTGTAGTGTATAGTGTCGTGTATAATGTAGAGTAGTGTAGTGCCTCCATAGAGTCCAATGTGTTCGCTTAGCGACCATTCCCCTGTTAACGACGGGCTGTTGTAGGTACAGTAAATATGTTAGTATGTTTATGTATTAATATCCATTGTTTAAATATTATAGTAAGTTTTTGGGTGAAAAAGGGTTAACTTTCGATGCTATTGGAACGAATTAAGCCTTTAACGTGCATTTCTTCTCCTCGCTTAACGACCAAAATCACTAAACGACCGCTTTTGCGGAACCAATAACCGCCGTTAAGAGGGGGTTCTACTGTAAACCCTTTCGTAGGATTATAGGGTGCAGCAATAATAATAATAATCGGGCTACTGTGGACAGGCGCAATCTCTTGCGCTCTTGCGTAAGTGCCTGACGCAGACTGAGCGACCTCGAGCAGAGTTGCGAGAAGGGAAAGAATTTCGATTTAAAGCTTTCGTGACTGCAGGGATTCATCTTCTTGGTTCTTTCGGTAAAGTCACGTAGAAGGGAAGTAATAAAATAATAAAAATAAACATAATAAAATAGAAATTCTCACGACGTTTCATTGGGACACTGTCTTTCCGACAGCTCTGTTTCTTCACCTGAGGACAGCTGCTTGTGTTGTGGCCGAAACGTCGTGAGAATTTTTATTTTATTATGTTTTATTATTATATTATTTGCCTTCTACGTGGCTTTACCGAAAGAACCAAGAATAAGGGAAAAAAATCTCGAGCGAGAAACGTAGCGCTGGGTTCAGCGATGGAGGCAACGGGGCGGCGAGTGTTGTTCGCTCGGGAGAGATGGAGAATGAGATCCACGGGGTGGCGGGGGGCGCGCTGACGTGCAGCGTGTCCCCCTCCACCCTCCCACGGAGGCCGCGCATGTAGACGCACAGCCAGCAGAGGTGGACGGAGCTGAGTTCAAGAGGTCGCAGGTCAAAGGGTCACCTTGAACTCCGTGGGGACAATGAGCTTTGGCGTGTCCACGCCCACCATGGCGTCCACGCCGCAGAAGATCACGATGGCCAGCACGATGGCAAAATCGCTGACGAGATTTCGGATCTGGCGTTCGGGGGAGCAAGGGGGAGCGGGGGAGCAAGGGGAGCAGGGGAGGGACATGGGAGGTGAGGGCAGGGCAAGGAACGGCGAGGACCGATTCACCGACGTCGCTTTTGGCTGCTCCGACGGACGAGCACCGACCCTGGTGGAGGTCGCACGGCATCCCCCCCCGACGGCCGAGCGACTTTAATCTGCGTTCCCCAGCGCCCACCGATGGGCAGATTTTTATTTCTAAATTTAATCCTTCGTGATAATGTGGGCAACGCTGGCAATCCAGTATTTATTTATTGCCCGTTGCCTCTCTCCCCGTCCCACACCCCATCTTGCGTTGGCGACTCGCTGCAAGAATTCTGCGCTCTATGAATCGGACGTCGTGGTGTTATCATCATCAACATCGTCATCATTATCGTATCATCGTCGCGATCGCAGGAGCCGCCGTGCCGTAACGCGGCGGCGAGATGGAGTGAGGCGTCTCCAATGCGCGAGGAGCAAACGGGAGGGAGCCACGGCAAAACTGCTCGCTCGCCGGAAGACGCCGTCGCTCCCCCCCCACCCTGGCCACGCGCAACTCCCGCCCGCAACAAACGAGCGTGAAGCTTGGAACGCAGCAGTAGAAGCAACAAAAAAATGCAAAAACTAGAATGAGAATTAATCGTTCGCTTTTTTTTTCATCACGACAGTTGCCGAGCACACGGGACCACGAAAAGCCAAGCGGCCCAGCAACGAACAGGCGCTGTTAAAAAGGTTTAACGGTTCCAAGTTGATATATGTTAAAAAGTTGTAACGGTTCCAAGTTGATACATGTTAAAAAGTTGTAACGGTTCCAAGTTGATACATGTTAAAAAGTTGTAACGGTTCCAAGTTGATACATGTTAAAAAGTTGTAACGGTTCCAAGTTGATACATGTTAAAAAGTTGTAACGGTTCCAAGTTGATACATGTTAAAAAGTTGTAACGGTTCCAAGTTGATACATGTTAAAAAGTTGTAACGGTTCCAAGTTGATACATGTTAAAAAGTTGTAACGGTTCCAAGTTGATATATGTTAAAAAGTTGTAACGGTTCCAAGTTGATATATGTTAAAAAGTTGTAACGGTTCCAAGTTGATACATGTTAAAAAGTTGTAACGGTTCCAAGTTGATATATGCTAAAAAGTTGTAACGGTTCCAAGTTGATACATGTTAAAAAGTTGTAACGGTTCCAAGTTGATATATGCTAAAAAGTTGTAACGGTTCCAAGTTGATACATGTTAAAAAGTTGTAACGGTTCCAAGTTGATATATGCTAAAAAGTTGTAACGGTTCCAAGTTGATATATGCTAAAAAGTTGTAACGGTTCCAAGTTGATATATGCTAAAAAGTTGTAACGGTTCCAAGTTGATACATGTTAAAAAGTTGTAACGGTTCCAAGTTGATATATGCTAAAAAGTTGTAACGGTTCCAAGTTGATATATGCTAAAAAGTTGTAACGGTTCCAAGTTGATATATGCTAAAAAGTTGTAACGGTTCCAAGTTGATATATGTTAAAAAGTTGTAACGGTTCCAAGTTGATATATGTTAAAAAGGTGTAACGGTTCCAAGTTGATATATGTTAAAAAATTGTAACGGTTCAAAGTTGATAAATGCTAAAAAGTTGTAACGGTTCCAAGTTGATATATGCTAAAAAGTTGTAACGGTTCAAAGTTGATATACGCTGCTAGACAACCCCCCCCCCACCACCACCACTCCCCCATCTCCCCCTGTCGGCGGGCGGGTACCTTGGTGGGGAAGTAGCGACTGGTCTTGAACTTCTTGAGCGACATGGAGCAGGAGTAGGTGCCCAGGAAGAGGATGAAGGAGGTGAGCGAGATGTCGGGCACGTACTTGCACGAGGGCCCGGACAGCGAGCCCCCGAGCCTCAGGCAGGCTTTCTTGCCCAGGTGGGCCCAGTCCACCGACGTCGCGTTCGCCAACAGCGGCTGTCCCCCGCCGTCGAGGTTTTTCGGTAGAGACGGAAAAAAAAAGATACATTTGTAAATATCTTCTTGGTTCTTTCGGTAAAGTCACGTAGAAGGGTAATAATAAAATAATACAAATAAAACATTAAATAATTCTCACGACGTTTCGGCCACAACGCAAGCAGCCGTCCTCAGGTGAAGAATGAAACACTACCAAAAGATCTTAATTTTGGAGCTTTCGTGACTGCAGGAATTATTCTTTGGTTCATTCGGTAAAGTCGTTCTTATGTTCTGCCCTGTCTGTGTGTCTCCGTTCCCCTTGTGTTTATGTTTTGTCTTTCTTTGGAATTTTCACACTTAAATTCTAACTTAGCAATCTTTGAAATACGTAATCGACCAGGCTATACGTTAATTGTGTGTTGACCGACTCTCTGTGTTGTATTACATAACATTTCGATATTTTGCTCGGTTATTTAATTTAGTATGTTCTTTCTCCCTATCTCCTAATGTTCAAGCCTGCGTACGTTACTACGCGTTCTTCGTACTCATTGACATGTTAATTTTTTCTCTAACCCCTCCCTCTCTCTGCCTCCGCCCCCCTCTGTCTATTTAAGGCAACGCCACAGAGACGATCTCCCTCTCTGTGCCTGTGTTACCCTCTCTATGTATCTTGGTGATATCTGTCTGCTTATATGTCTGTCTATAGTTTTCTGGTTAGATTTTTTGTTGCTATTTCATTTATACCTGATGATGATTGCTTGTGTTGCAATCGAAACGTCGTATGCTATTATTTAATTTATTATTTTATCTTTATACGTGACTTTACCGAAAGAACCAAAAAATAGTACCGAAAGAACCAAGAAGATGAATCCCTGCAGTCACGAAAGCTTTAAATCGACATTTGTAAATAGTTAAACTTTTTTCGTACGTACAGTCTCCGTTCTCCTATCACGAGGCGGTAGTCGCGTTCCTGAAGAACACCGCATTGTGAGGAAATAATGGCGTTATAATGAATAAAATATAATATAGGGTAAAGTGCGTGACATCCATACACAGGCTGAACAAAGACTGAGGCGCGTGGTGGTGAGTAGCATCTAGAAGCATCCAGCAGCATCCCCGCCGTGTGCGATGCTACGCCGAGGCAGCCGTACAACCGCCCATTCCTACTCTCGCTGAGACGTGGTTCTGTTTCATCATTGCCAGAAAGGCTGAAACCTATTCTTTGTTTTCCTACTTTGATACTGGCTAAAAGGTCCCGTTTTTGTAGCTGCTCGCCCCGAGCTATAAATGCTCCGATCGTGCATTGTCCTTGTGCTGTTCACCTTTTGGTGTTTCTCTGGTCTGACACTGGTGGTGAGACGAGGCCCTAAAGAAGGCTGCTGTCTCTGGTGTGGACCAATTTGACAACGCATCATATATTATGTCTGTTTGCATGTTCACCACAAGTACCACAAGTACCGGGTGTGGTTATTGCAGTACTTTTTGGCGTTTGAACATCTTAACACCTCCTGTTTTATTGCCAAAAATGGTAAAAACCTGTTCTTTTTTTTTCATACTTTGATCCTGTAAAAAAAGGTCCCACCACTCTGACGTAGTTCTGTTTGCTCGATTGCGTCATATCCGAGCGCCGCAAAAATAAATACAAAAATGAACAAAACAAATTAAATAGTAAGAATGATTCTAACACAAAAAAATCTAAAAAAAAATTTGTTACATCTTTTTTAAAATTTCTAACATCACCAGGGTGACGTTGAGAGCGTAGCCGAGGTCGTAGGGCATCGTGGTGGCCGAGTCGTTTGCCAGAACCGTGGCGTTCCCTGCGGCACAGAGCGCGGGACAATGATCGCGGTCAATGGTGGCGGTTGTTGTTGTTGTCGTTGTTGTCGTTGTTGTTGTTTTCGTCGTTGTTGTTGTCGCAGCCACGCGCTCCTTGCCCGGCAACCTGGCAGTCGCCTCGTCAATTCGTCGTCGTCATCGTCGTCGTCGCGATCCATGGGCAGATGGCCAGCACGTGTCCACTAAGCCTTTCGTCGCTTGTTTCCACTCTCCTCTGTCTTGTGCCAAGTTGCTCAAGCAGTGGCCACAATCTCTTCTCGGTGCCAGAATAACGCACTTTTAATGTCCCTGTTGTTGTCCATCCTACAGGTGCCAGTTTCATTCTCATCACTGCCTGCAATCAGATCTTCGTCTACGTGCGATCTTTAACCTACCTCTACACTGGTCACTCTTTGGGTCCAGCTTAGATGCAGTATCCTTCTATAGCAATACATTTCGAATGCCAATATCTTATCTCTGTCAGTCTTCAATTCATATTACTCACATTAATATCATCGTCGTCATCATCATCGTCGTCAATAGCATTTGTTGAGATGTATTCGCTATTATACCCAGAAAGCCACACCGAATAGTAGGACTGGTTTTTTCCCATGAGGGTTGTCCCGCATCACATGATTTTACATGACAATGTTTTTCAGCCAATTAATAGGCGTTTACTGGACATCTGTGAAGAAAAAAATTGCTTTATAGCGCATCAGATTTCTCCAGGACAAATAACGTGTCGGAGGAAACCAGAGGTCGCAACCGGGTACCCGATACCCGTACCCTACCCGATACCCGGCTACCCGTACCCGGCCGGGTACGGGTACGGGTACCCGTTTGTGACCCTGGTGCGGCCGGGTACAGGTACGGGTAGACCGTGAGTCACTGGTGAGTAACTGTTTGTCACTCATTTCCCAACGTCTTGTCTCTTCTCACAATTCAAGTTCCTAGAATCAACCCACCCGCGCCTGCAACGTGGCTTCATCCCAGAGGTCGCAATCAGGTACCCGATACCCGTACCCTACCGTACCCGGCCGGGTACGGGTACCCGTTTGCGACCCTGGTGCGGCCGGGTACGGGTAAGGAATCAAAACCCGTTTGCGACCTCTGGAGGAAACCGGAGCTCCCGGATAAACAATGTCCATTAACCAGTTGTGCAGTGGCTCGCACACAGCACCATGAACCCAGCGACCCGAGTTTGATTTTCCGGCCACAGCTAAACCAGCGGTGGTTGTATATGTCTACACCAGTTCTGGGCTGTTTCAGATATCTCTCGAAACTGGTGTTAGGGGTCAGGTGATGACGGCAGGTGACGACGGCACGTGACGAGGGTCGTTGAGTGCGTGAGTCCGCAGGCACTCAACGGCATCAACCACTTACACCCCAGCACCACGTGGTGTCACGCGGGGGCCCTGTAGCCATGTGGCCATGTGACCCTGTGACCATGTGACTGTGTGACCCTGACACGGTAACCATGTGGTCATGTCACTGGTTGACCGAGTGACCACGTAGCCATGTGGCCCTGTGACCCTGTGACCCTGACACGGTAACCATGCGGCCACGTGACTGGTTGACCGAGTGACCACGTAGCCATGTGGCTGTGTGGCCATGTGACCCTGTGACCCTATAGAAATGTAGCGGTGTGACCCTATAGCCATTTGGCCGTTTTGACCCTGTGACCCTGACACGGTAATCATGTGGCCACGTGACTGGTTGACCGAGTGACCACGTAGCCGTGTGACCGAGGTAGACGTGCGGAGGAATGGTGACAGAAAGGAGAAGGAATGATGATGATGAGGAGGAGGAGGATATATGATGGGGGGGAGAGGGGATGTAGGAGAGAGGGAGGAGGGGGCGCAGGCCATCTCACCTGGCACTGGCGGCAGGCAGGTACAGCCGTAGGAGGTGACGTACTCGGGCCTGTAGTCCGGGTCGATGGGGTAGTAGTCGGCCAGCTTGAGCATCTTCTTGAAGGCGTCATAGATGAAGATGAAGGAGATGAGCGCCGAGAAGCCCTCCTCGGTGAATCGCGTGAAGTATTTGACGAGGAACGAGGCGTCGGTGGCGACGAGGACGAGGCAGAAGAACGCCGACCACAGGCCGATCCACAGGCGGAACTCCAGGTAGTCGAAGCTGTTGTCTCTGCAGACGTGGCCGCAACGTGGTCATCGCTACGATTAGTAGTTTTATTGGGATCATCCATGAGAAGAGGTTTTTTTTGGCGGGTTAGATCGCGTAAATATATTAACGCAATCTAACCCCCCAAAAAAATAGTATGGATGATATTGGTCGCGCAAGCCTACGTGTTAGGCTTATTCGGATCACTTTAGCGATGTTGATCAATGCTTGCCGCCCGCGCTAATCGCACCTCCGGTTCGCACGATTCGCTGCGTACAGTGCGAAAGAAGTTTAACATGCACGCGGACGGAGCACCCCCCCCCCCCCCCGCCGCTCTTATGTTCAACCAGAGTGATTCTTCTTACTCGTCACACGGTGTCACAAAAAGTCAGACCCCCCTCAAATATGACGTCACAAAGCTCTTGTTTAGTATTTATTTTAGAGGAGCGTCCAAGGGTCCTCGGGGTCTCCGCTCGCCACCAGCAGGGGGCGCCGTCGTTTCTGCCATTCGCAGTTTCCTTTCGATTTCGATTTAAAGCTTTCGTGACTGCAGGGATTCATCTTCTTGGTTCTTTCGGTAAAGTCACGTAGAAGGGAAGTAAAATTTTTTATTTTATTTTATTATTTTTATTTTAAATAATAAAAACTAAAACATAAAATAATAATTATTTTATTATTTTTTATAAAATAATTATTTTATTATGTTTTATTTAGAATAATAAAAATAAAGCACAATAAAATATTTATTTTATTATGTTTTATTTTTATTATTTTGATAAAATAATTATTTTATTATAATAATTATTTTATTATAATTTTAAAAAATAATTATTTTATTATAATAATTATTTTATAATGTTTTATTTTTATTATTTTATTACTTCTCTTCTACGTGACTTTACTGAAAGAACCAAGAAGATGATTCCCTTCGATTATTCAGTTTTTGTTCGTCCCCGCAATAAATAATTTTTTTGGGAAGCCTCCGGATTACCCCCCTCCCCCCCCACATCGCGGTGTTCGCCATCCTTGCACTATTTACTTTGTCCCGTCCCGTCCGTGGATTCCTCGCGTTTCCCTCTCGCGTGGGCGATTTGTTCACGCCACGAATACTCAAAACGGTTCTCGTCATCATCAGCCATGGTCAATGCAGACTCGCGCAACGCACCCCCACACTCACTCACCCCCACGCTCGCTCACCCCCACGCTCACTCACCCCCACACTCACTCACCCCCACACTCAATCACCCCCACACCCACGCACTCACTCACTCACCCCCACACTCGCTCACCCCCACGCTCGCTCACCCCCACACTCACTCACCCCCACACTCACGCACTCACCCCCACACTCACCCACACGCTCGCACCCCCACACTCACTCACCCCCACACTCCCTCACTCACCCCCACACTCACTCACCCCCACACTCACCCCCACACGCAGACCCCCACACGCACTGACCCCCACGCTCACCCCCACGCTCGCTCACCCCCACACACACTCACTCACCCCCACACTCGCTCACCCCCATGCTCACCCCCACACTCGCTCACACGCTCGCACCCCCACACTCACTCACCCCAACACTCACCCCCAGACTCACTCACCCCCACACACACTCACCCCCACACTCACCCACACACTCACTCACCCCACGCTCGCTCACCCCCACACTCGCTCACCCCCACACTCACTCACCCACACACTCACTCACCCCCACACTCGCTCACCCCCACACTCACCCCCACCCTCACTAGCCCCCACACACAGGCGCACCCGGCGCAGCTCACTTGCTGAAGTTGAAGAGGAGCCTCTCGAAGACGAGCACGGGCCCCGTGCTACTCAGGATGGTGAGCGGCTGCCCCGCGAAGAGGCAGAAGACGCCGCCCGCGATCGCCGTGCCCAGGAAGCTCTCGAGCACGCCCTGCCGGGGGGACGGCACACGCAGCGCGTGTCGGTGTGTGTCGGTGTGTACGTGTCTGTAGGTGTCGGTGCGTGTGTTGGTGTACGTGTCTGTAGGTGTCGGTGCGTGTCGGTGTGTACGTGTCTGTAGGTGTGTGTCGGTGTGTGTGTTGGTGTGTACGTGTCTGTAGGTGTCGGTGCGTGTCGGTGTGTACGTGTCTGTAGGTGTGTGTCGGTGTGTGTGTTGGTGTGTACGTGTCTGTAGGTGTTGGTGCGTGTCGGTGTGTACGTGTCTGTAGGTGTGTGTGTTGGTGTGTACGTGTCTGTAGGTGTCGGTGAGTGTCGGTGTGTACGTGTCTGTAGGTGTGTGTCGGTGTGTGTGTTGGTGTGTACGTGTCTGTAGGTGTCGGTGTGTGTTGGTGTGTGTTGGTGTGTGTGTTGGTGTGTGGTGGTGCGTGTCGGTGTGTGTTGGTCTTTACGTGGGTGTGTTGGGGGTGTGTTGGTGTGTGGTGGTGTGTGTTGGTGTGTGGTGGTGTGTACGTGTCTGTTGGTGTGTGTTGGTGCGTGTTGGTGTGTGTACTTGTTGGGTTGTGGCGTCGGCGTCTGTGTTGTTGGCGTGCGTGCGCGTGCATGCGCGTGCATGCGCGTGCGTGTGCGTGCACGCACGTGCGTGTGCGTGCATGCGCGTGCGTGTGTGCGTGCGTATATGCGTGTGTGCGCGTGCATGCACGTGCGTGTGCGCGTGCGCGTCTCGAACCTGCATGTTCTCGGTGGCGTCTCCCAGGAGGCCCCCGAAGGTGATGGCGTTGGTGATGGTGGCGAGGTAGAGGAAGATGATGGCCGACAGTGACTGGATGTTGAAGGCGTCGCAGAAGTCGCTCATGTACCACGGCAGCTTCCTCCTGATGTCCTTGATGAGCCCCCCAAAGAACCTGCCCGAGGCACAGAGCCCCCCACCCCACCAGCCCAGCGGTCATCACTCTGCACACCCCCCCACTCCCTACCTGGCGAACGCCGCGGACGTCAACAAAGACCCCGCGGTGTCGTTCGCGAGACCGTGAGCGGCGTCACGGTCACGGATTATTAAAATAATAACGATCATTATTATTGGTCATTATTATTGATCATTATTATTGATTATTATTGGTGATTATTATTTATAATTATTATTTATCATTATTATTTATCATTATTATTGATCATTATTAATGGTCATTATTATTGATCATTATTATTGATCATTATTATTTATCATTATTATTTATCATCATTATTGATCATTATTATTGGTCATTATTATTGATCATTATTATTGATTATTATTGGTGATTATTATTTATAATTATTTATCATTATTATTTATCATTATTATTGATCATTATTATTGATCATTATTATTGATCATTATTATTTTTTGCCAAATTCGGAAATGGCAGAGCACTCGATCGGGCGTCACGCACACAGCAGCAGCGACCATCGCCCCCCCCCCCCGCCTCCTCCTGCTGCTGCCGGCAGACTGACGCCCGATTGCAAGCCAGGTGCCCAGGTCACTCTGTGGTCATCACTACGGTTATTATAACCACGGCGGCCCGCTGGATTCGAACCGCGAACCTCGCGGGCGCCTCTCACCTGCCGGTCTTCTCCAGTTCGTCTCCGTGGCTGCCGTGACCTCCCGGAGCTTCGCCGTGACCTCCCGCGCCGCCGCCGTGACCTCCCCCTCCTCCTCCCCCGTGACCGCCGCCGCCGTGACCCCCCCCTCCCCCTCCTCCTCCTCCCCCGTGACCGCCGCCGCCGCTGCCGTTCATCCGCGTCACCTCCGCCAGGGAATGCTGCGACTTCCTGCCGTTCGCGAGAGAGAGACGCACAAAACGTTCGCTCGCCGGGACGACGCGAAACCTCCGCCGCCCCCCTCCCGGCGCGCCGCTCCTCACCCCACCGCCACAACCACCACCGCCACCAACTCTCCTCGTTCCGTCTCACCGGGACGCGCTCCGCCGCACGGCGATAGTCGTGTCGGGTAAACGACGAACGAGAGTGACAAATGTGGTGTCGCGTTTCCTCGCACGGCGGGTCGACCACGACGGCTGTTGTTACGGGAGTTCACGTGCGCGTGTTGTGTATAAACACGCACACACACACGCGCGCGTGTGCGCGTGTGTGTGTGCATGCGTGTGCGTGTGTGTAATCTGCGTGCGTGAGTGTGTGCGTGTGTGCGTGTGTGTGTGCGCGTGCGTGTGTGTGCATGTGTGTGTGCGTGTGTGTGTGCGTGTGTGCGTGTGTGTGTGTGGTCTCGACGGCGGGGTTTCGCCGCAAGTTCGCCGATCGGCAGGTCGTCGCGTGCGGTGGGGTATAAGCCTGGGCGACCCCCGCCTCTTCCGAGATGTCTGAGCCAGCGTGCAAGAGTAGGCCAAAAACACCCTCTAGGAGGGAGTTGCCGAGAGCGCGCTCGGAGTGGAGTCCCCCCTTCCACCAGCGGTGGCTCGAGAGGGCAATTGGAGGGGCTGCACCTTTACCGTCTACCGCGCGGTCCGGTGACGACTTCGCGCTGCACGGCGAGGATGGTCGCGTCGGGTCGACGACGACGAGAGAGCGACAACAAAGTGTCACGTCCCCTCGTGCACGACGGGTCGACCACCACGGCGGTTGTCACAGGGTGGTTTCACGTGCGCGTGTGTGTGTGTGCGTGCGCGCGCACGTGACGTCAACAACAACAAAAAGGGGGAGGGGGGAAGCGCAAATTCCAAAGGAAAACCAAAAAAACAACCTCGCAGAGGCAAAAGAGTTCCGCGTCAGAACAAATAAAAGCTCCAACGAAACACCAACCTCGCCACCACCCCCCCTCCACCAGCACCACGGCCACTGCCACCACCACGGCCACCGCTACCACGGCCACCGCCGCCACATGCGTTAGTCCATCGGAGGAGGAGGGAAGGGCGGTTAGCAACAACGAACACCGCTTTCAAGAAGCGCGCCGCACAGAAAGACGCGAGGCTTCCATCTCGGCCGACGGGACGCTGACCCTTGCCGCATCACCGCACCCACCATCACCACGACACCACCACGACACCACGACACCACCGCCACCGAGAACCCACACCTCCTGAAAGCAACCGACACCGCCAGGACAGTTTACAGAAGCCAAGCGACTGTCCCCCGTGACCTCTCACGAACCCTTCTTCAGGTCCGTGCAGGTGCCGCAGGTAGCGGTCTCTCCGTCGACGTCGCCTGCCAGGGGGTCACGTGGTTCAAGGAGAGCTGCGTTAGGAGGTGGCACGGCGCTCCCAGCCACAGCAAACACAAGGACAATGGTACCCCCCCTACCCCCCCCCTACCCCCCCTACCCCCCACGTGTTGATAAAGATCACCCCCGTATAATTCTAGATGTGAAGCTTTCATGACTGCAAGGATTCATATTGTTAGGTTTTTTTCGGTAAAGTCACGTAGGTAAAAAAATAAAATTAATAAAAGTAAAATAAAAAATAAAATCACGACGTTTCGGAGGCAACACAAGCTTCCGTCTTCAGGTGGAACCGTCACAGCACGATTGCTGTATCGTGATTTGTATTTTACTTTTATTAATTTTAAATTTTTTACCTACGTGACTTTACCGAAAAAACCTAAAAATACACCCCCGTATAGCCCGTGCAGACTATCGGGGCAAGTGCTGTTAGCGAGCACCTATGGAGGCCAAGATGGCACACGACTGGATGGGTGGCCAGCACCATTCCCTGCCGCCCTCATCTCCCCAGTGGCGATGCTTAAAACACTGCGCCAGGTACTCATTTAGGGCCGAGTAGATCTAGGGGAGGCCCACAAACGGTTCAAAAATAATTCGTCACCGTTGTTGGCCGTGGCCGGGAATCGAACTCGGGTGACCGGGTCCGGAGGGAGGTGTGCTAACCGCTGTGCCACCGTTCTCCAGCCACACCGCACACACTCACAACAACACACACCACACTCACAACAGCACACACTCACAACAACACACACACATCACACACACACACCACACGCACACACACCACACACTCACAACAACACAGACTCACAACAACACACACACCACACACACACATCACACACACACCACACACTCACAACAACACACACACCACACACACCTCACTCACAACAACACACACACCGCACACACACCACACACTCACAACAACACACAAATGACACACACACGGGTGAGGCCTCTGATAGTGAATGTTTATGTGGGATGTCGGTGCGTGAGTGAGCGAGTAGTAAGTGCGTGGACGTACAAGCAAGTGGCTGACAGTGAGTGTGCGGGTCGGTGAGTAAGCGAGTGAGTTGGTGAGTGAGCGGGTGAGAGAGTGTGCAAACGAGTGAGCGAGCAAATGGGTAAGCGAGTGATCATGCGAGCAGACGAGTGGGCAAGTAAGTGGGTGGGCAGGTCAGTGAGCGAGCAGGTAGGTGAGCGGATAGATGAGTAGGCAGGTGAGTTAGTGAATAGGCAGGTGAATGAGTGAGTGATGAAGGAGAGTGAGTGGATAGGTGAGTGAGTGAATGGGTAGACGAGTGGGCACGTGAGTGAGCTGATAGGTGAGTGAGCGAGCAGCAAGGTGAGTGAGCTGGTAGGTGAGTGGTCAAATGAGTGAGCGGGTAGGCGAAACGGCAGGTAGGCGAATGAGCGGGTAGGTCAGTGGGCAGTTGAGTGAGCGAGCGGGTGGGTGGGTGAGTCGGCAGGTGAGTGAGCGAGCGAGCGTTGTAGGTGAGTGAGCGTTGCCGTGTGGCAGTTACCGTTTCTCGGGAGAGGGGATGTTCTTGGGGGGATCGATACGGATGGTAGGGTCCCACTCCCCGGGGGGCAGCACGATCACCTCGTCGAGGAACTCGTCGATGCCGAGGAGGAGGTCCTTGCGGTCGCGAGCCTTGTACACCACGTCGTGGAACAGCTGGGAGTGGGCGGGGAGGGTGAGGATGGCGCGGAGAGGGGCCACATTCACTCGCTAACCCACTCACCCGCTCGCTCACCCGCTCGCCCACCCGCTCGCCCACCCGCTCGCCCACCCGCTCGCTCACCCGCTCGCTCACCCACCCGCTCACTCACCCGCTCACTCACGCACTCACTCACCCACTCGCCAGCCCACCGGGTCACCCATCCCACCCGTCCGCTCATTGACCAAGTCACCCGCTCAGTGACCAAGTCACCCGCTCATTCACCAAGCCACCCGCTCATTGACCAAGTCACCCGCTCATTGACCAAGTCACCCGCTCATTGACCAAGCCACCCGCTCATTGACCAAGTCACCCGCTCATTCACCAAGCCACCCGCTCATTGACCAAGCCACCCACTGACTCGTTCACTCACTCCCTCCACTCGATGGCACCCACAACGCGCACTCACACACACACACAGCTACGCACTCACACTTGCCTTCAACAAAATCCAGACCGCCCCCCCCCCCGCCCCCCCACGCTGCGTCTCGCTTCGCCCGCAGACGCCCCCCCCCCCGTGCGCGTCCCGTTCCGCTTCGCGAGCGCAGGGATCGCTCACCTCGTCGGACATGAGCGTGGCCATGGCCCTGCCGATCTCGTGGTACTCCTTGCCCCTGCCCTTGGGTCCCATGAGCACGAACAGGAACCTGGCACGGGGGGGGGGGGGGGGGGGACAAAGGTGGGAACATCACCGCACTGCACCGCGTGCCTGGCAAAACGTCTTCAATCGCCGCACAGCACGAAACAAAGACAAAGATCCTCTGCCGTGTGAAGCCTTAACGGACTGCCACCACCCCCGGCCGCCTTTGTTTCCCCCAGTGGTGGTGTTTACACACCGCACCAGGTACTCATTCGAGGCCGAGTCGACCTAGGTGAGGCCCAGAACCGGTGCAGATAATCGTCACTGGTGTTGGCCGTGAGCGGGAATTGAACCCGGATCACCCGGGTTCGTAACGCAGCGCGCTAACCGCTACACTACCGCTCCCCACAGCACACAGACACACAGACAGGCACACACAGACACACAGACAGACACAGACAACAACAACACCCTCCATTCGCCACTTAGTGGCGGTGACGTCACCACGACGCTTGTGCCAGGCTATGTGCACACAGACACACACACACGCTTTGCCCTTCCCTCGCACCTACGATGAGCACGGTTGGCTACGTACGGCACGAAAGAAGTTCAACGTGCACGCGTACAACAAACAAATAACACCGCTCGGATTCACCTGGCGGGGGACGGGCATCTCCGTGAGGCTCATCTGGTGGTGGTCTCACTCTGTGAGTCTCACCTGGTGAGGAGTGAGCATCTCTGTGAGTCTCACCTGGTGAGGAGTGAGCATCTCTGTGAGTCTCACCTGGTGAGGAGTGAGCATCTATGTGAGTCTCACCTGGTGGTGGTCTCACTCTGTGAGCCTCACCTGGTGAGGGACTGAGCACCTCTGTGAGTCTCACCTGGTGAGGAGTGAGCATCTCTGTGAGGCTCACCTGGTGAGGAGTGAGCATCTCTGTGAGGCTCACCTGGTGGGGAGTGAGCATCTCTGTGAGGCTCACCTGGTGGGAGAGTGAGCATCTATGTGAGTCTCACCTGGTGGTGGTCTCACTCTGTGAGTCTCACCTGGTGGGGAGTGAGCATCTCTGTGAGTCTCACCTGGTGAGGAGTGAGCGTCTCTGTGAGCCTCACCTGGTGGTGGTCTCACTCTGTGAGTCTCACCTGGTGAGGGACTGAGCATCTCTGTGAGTCTCACCTGGTGGTGGTCTCACACTGTGAGCCTCACCTGGTGAGGAGTGAACATCTCTGTGAGCCTCACCTGGTGGTGGTCTCACTCTGTGAGCCTCACCTGGTGAGGAGTGAACATCTCTGTGAGTCTCACCTGGTGGTGGTCTCACTCTGTGAGCCTCACCTGGTGAGGAGTGAGCATCTCCGTGAGTCTCACCTGGTGGTGGTCTCACACTGTGAGCCTCACCTGGTGAGGAGTGAGCATCTGTGAGCCTCACCTGGTGAGCACTGAGCATCTCTGTGAGCCTCACCTGGTGGGCACGGGCACCTGTGTGAGCCTCACCTGGTGGTGGTCTCACTGTGAGCCTCACCTGGTGAGGGACTGAGCACCTCTGTGAGTCTCACCTGGTGGTGGTCTCACTCTGTGAGCCTCACCTGGTGGTTGTCTCACTCTGTGAGCCTCACCTGGTGGGGGAGGGGAACCCTATGTGAGCCTCACCTGGTGAGGAGTGAGCATCTCTGTGAGCCTCACCTAGTAATGGTCTCACTCTGTGAGTCTCACCTGGTGGGGAGTGAGCATCTCTGTGAGGCTCACCTGGTGGGAGAGTGAGCATCTATGTGAGTCTCACCTGGTGGTGGTCTCACTCTGTGAGTCTCACCTGGTGGGGAGTGAGCATCTCTGTGAGTCTCACCTGGTGAGGAGTGAGCGTCTCTGTGAGCCTCACCTGGTGGTGGTCTCACTCTGTGAGTCTCACCTGGTGAGGGACTAAGCATCTCTGTGAGTCTCACCTGGTGGTGGTCTCACACTGTGAGCCTCACCTGGTGGTGGTCTCACTCTGTGAGCCTCACCTGGTGAGGAGTGAACATCTCTGTGAGTCTCACCTGGTGGTGGTCTCACTCTGTGAGCCTCACCTGGTGAGGAGTGAGCATCTCCGTGAGTCTCACCTGGTGGTGGTCTCACACTGTGAGCCTCACCTGGTGAGGAGTGAGCATCTGTGAGCCTCACCTGGTGAGCACTGAGCATCTCTGTGAGCCTCACCTGGTGGGCACGGGCACCTGTGTGAGCCTCACCTGGTGGTGGTCTCACTGTGAGCCTCACCTGGTGAGGGACTGAGCACCTCTGTGAGTCTCACCTGGTGGTGGTCTCACTCTGTGAGCCTCACCTGGTGGTTGTCTCACTCTGTGAGCCTCACCTGGTGGGGGAGGGGAACCCTATGTGAGCCTCACCTGGTGAGGAGTGAGCATCTCTGTGAGCCTCACCTAGTAATGGTCTCACTCTGTGAGTCTCACCTGGTGGGGAGTGAGCATCTCTGTGAGTCTCACCTGGTGGTGGTCTCACTCTCTGAGTCTCACCTGGTGGGCACGGGCACCTCTGTGAGCCCTCCGAGGGTCGTGGCCGTCTGGAGGCGAACGAACGCCACGAAAGGCGTCTCCAGAAAGTCGACCTCCCCCACCAGGATGTTGGAGGCCTCGGCGTCGCGTGGAATTTTCTTGATGAACCGGTTTTTCATCTGCAGCGGAGGGCACAGGGAGCGTTCGTTGTGTTCATTAATATGCAGGGACTCATCTACTTGTGACCATTCTATTTACGAACTTTCAGAGAGTAAGAACAAACCTGGTCCGTATGTCCAATTTGCCTGTTCGGACCGAAAGTCGTAAGTTCAACCGCCGCGCAATAGATGACGGTGGTGGCATCTACATCTACAGAACATGAAGAACCAGTGGTATCTACATCTACAGAACATGAAGAACCAGTGGTATCTACATCTACAGAACATGAAGAACCAGTGGCATCTACATCTACAGAACATGAAGAACCAGTGGCATCTACATCTACAGAACATGAAGAACCAGTGGTATCTACATCTACAGAACATGAAGAACCAGTGGCATCTACATCTGCAGAACATGAAGAACCAGTGGCATCTACATCTGCAAAACGTGAAGAACCAGTGGCATCTACATCTGCAATACTCCGCCAGAGATCCCTGCCACAGCGCCTCCAGGTGGAGTATCTTCCTTTATGCAGGTGAAGTGTCTGCGTAGGTGCGTGCGTAGGTGCGTGGGTGGGTGCGTGGGTGGGTGCGTGGGTGTGTGGGCTCGTGGGCGCGTGGGTGGGTGGGGGTGTGCGTGGGTGGGTGCGTGGGTGTGTGGGTGGGTGCGTGGGTGCGTAGTTGCCTGGGTGGGTTCGTGGGTGCATGGGTGGGTGGGTGTGTGCGTTCGTGTGCGCGTGCGTGGGTTCGTGGCTGGGTTCGTGGGTTCGTGGGGCGTGCGTGGGTGAGTGCGTGGGTGGGTGGGTGCGTGGGTGGGTGGGTGCGTGGGTGTCTGGGTGGCTGTGTGCGTGGATGCGTGAGTGGGTGGGTGCGTGGGTGCGTGGGTGGGTGGGTGTGTGCGTGCGTGGATGCGTGGGTGGGTGGGTGCGTGGGTGCGTGGGTGCGTGGGTGGGTGCGTGGGTGGGTGGGTGGGGGTGTGCGTGGATGCGTGGGTGGGTGCGTGGGTGCGTGGGTGCGTGGGTGCGTGGGTGCGTGGGTGGCTGTGTGCGTGGATGTGTGGGTGGGTGGGTGCGTGCAGGCCCCGCACCTGATCCTTCCCAGGGATCTCCAGGATGTCGCTGCCGTTGCCGGCTGCTGTCGATTTCCGCGGACTGCCGTTGAGGCTGCCTGTGCGAAGATGCCGCGACGCAGCAGGGGACGAACGTCATTTCATCATCATCATCATCGAACATCTGTATAATCGCCAATCTTCATCATCCATCGACCATCGCGTAATAGCGTGAAGTCACATCTCAGTCTCACCAGCCAGTGCCTCGTCCGATCTCACAGTGGGAACAGGGTGCAATGAAAGATACAGGATATGTAAATATATCGCGTGTGTATGTGTAGAAATAAAAACGCAGAATATACAAGAAGGGAACAAATCATAATCAGAGGGCATTTGGGGGATTTTGCGAAGCACGGATTGGCAGAACCCAAGCGGCACGGCCCTGCAAGTGGGACCCTGGCGAGAGGGACGGAGATGCGGGTGGCGGCGGTGGGGGGTGGGGGAGGCAAAGCGATGCCACGTGGGCGATCAGGGGCCAGGGATGGCAGCACTGCGAGGGACGTTGCACCGGGCGTCGTGGTGCGGGCAGTGTCGTGGCAAGGGCTGGATGGAGCGGTGGCCACCCCAATGATGAGGCACAGGAACGGCGGGGATCGGTGGGACACGAGGGGATGGGGGGGGGGGCGAGGGACAAGGGGGTACATGGTGGGATAAGAAGGTGGGGGGGGGGGGCACTGGGACAAAGTGCGTGGCTGGCAGGGACCGGGACTGCGGTGTCCGTGTTTACAGCAGGGCAACGCGAGGACACGTGGGTGGTATCTGTGAGTTGCACCTTCCCTTTAAAGGTCACATTCAAGTTACAGGCCCTCAAAGGTCACCCAGGTGCCCCGAGGGAGTTTGTTCTGCGGCTTTAAATAAATGATGGCCCCGGTCGTGGAAGAGGAGCCGTATGGGATCGCTTACCGTGGAAAATGCAACTTGAACGTGAATACGTAAATGTTTGAATTAAGCCTTACAAGAGGAAAACACGTGGTTTGACAGATGACATTTCAGGAAATGTCCAGACTTCATTGTTGTTGTTTTAGGATATTGTTGTTGACTTCAAGCGTTTGTGACTGCAGAAATTCATATTCGTTGGGTCTCTGTTGTTGTTGTTGTTGTTGAGGAATGTGTTGAGTTTCTTATCCGTCCTTTGCGCGCCACTAACCAGCGCAGCGTCACGCCAAGACAAAATCGGTTAAAAAAACGACTTCGCCGGTCCCAGCACGCGGGTTTCGCGGTGGGTCCACCAACTCACCAATGGCTCATTCCACTTCTTGGGGGAGTGTGGGGTAGGGAGTGGGGTGGGGTTGGGTTTGTGGGAGGGGGGTGGGGGGTGGGGTTGGGGGGGTTTGGGGGGTGGGTTTGGGGGGAGGTTATTTTGTCAGCGTGGCGGCACGCGCCAGCCCTGTGTCACCACGTGCCATGGCCCAGATCATCGCGTCTCCTGGCTGGGCGTGGGGGGAATAGTCGTGGGCTTGTGTGTGGGTGTGTGGGTGTTGGTGCTTGTCTACCCACGCACTTTACGACTCCGTGACCCGGGCTGTGTTTGTGTAGCAGTGAGCGCTACGCTGCGCTACGAAGCCGGCGAGCCGAGTTCGATTCCCAGCTCACGGCCAACACCGGTGACGATTATCTGAGCCCTCCCCTAGGTCGACTCAGACTCAAATGAGTACCTGGCGCGGTGTGTAGTAAACATCGCCACTCGGGAGACAAAGGCGGCCGGGCGTGATGCTGGTCACCCACCCCCTCGTGTGACGAGGCGCCGGCCTTCATAGTAGGTGCTTGCCCCAAAACAGCACTTGCCCCAAAAGTCTATAAAGGCTACACGGTGGATCTTTGCCTTTAGCCACGAGAATCCCGCCGTTGTTGGCGTGAACGCGAGAGCGACCCCCCCATTAGAGACGATCTACTCTGCACGCATCGTAACAAACATTTACGGCGGTGCCGTATCACCGCGCCGATTGAGAGAGAGAGACTTGGAGCAAATTGTGGCTTAGGGCGGCAATTGCATCACACCGTTTGTTCGCTCGGCTGATAATCGACCTCTTGTTTTACGACCTTTTCGTGGGGATTTTTTTGGCATCCGTCAGCCCGGACGGCTCGGGCAATTGCACGTAGACCAAGCGGGGGAAAGACGGTTACGTAAATTGAAATGCAATCTGACTTAATGTGAATTATGCAGGGGGGGGTGGGGGGTGTGGGGGGGAGTTTGGTGGTGTTGCCTTTTCTCCTGTAAGTAGAATAAAGGGTGCCACGGTGGCGAGATGTTAGCAACCTCGCCTGGTATACAGGAGGTTGTGAGTTCGATCCCGACCCTGACGCCTGTTGTATATTTGGAGTTGTGTGTGTGTCTTTCTCTCTCTGTGGTGAGATGTTAGCAACCTCGCCTGGTATACAGGAGGTTGTGAGTTCGGTCCCGACCCTGACGCCTGTTGTATATTTGGAGTGTTGTGTTTCTCTCTCTCTGTGGTGAAATGTTAACAACCTCGCCTGGTATACAGGAGGTTGTGAGTTCGATCCCGACACTGACACCTGTTGTATATTTGGAGTTTTGTGTGTGTCTCTCTCTCTCTGTGGTGAGATGTTAACAACCTCGCCTGGTATACAGGAGGTCGTCGGTTCGATCCTGACCCTGACGCCTGCTCTATATTTGGAGTTTTGCGTGTCTCTCCGCGTCCTCCGGTGTTTCCCCTCCACATTTAGAATGAACATCACCACGCGCTTCGAGTAATTAGGCGGCTATACATTCCCACACGATTTAATAAGCCACTTTGTTGCGCTATCATCCCGTGGTAGCCAGGTCGCTTCTGAAAAAAAGCCGTGGGCCTCATCCGCTAAAGTAAAAAAATATATAGTTTAGTTTTACAGAGGGGCGGGGGCTCGCGCTGGTGATTAACTCGAAACGTGGTAATGGCTAAGCCGTGTGTGGGAGTACGGTCAGCAGGTGACCAGCCTGCTCGTGTAGGCGGTGTTTATCATAAATCCCCGGAGTATCCACTAGAAAGCCACAACGCCTGCCAGCCCAGGGGCAGCAAGGCGCTGGGCACACAGGCACACCAAAGCAATTGAACCCCAAACAAGGAGTTATTGGTACACACTCTGGATGCCAATTGCTAACAATTATTTTCTCGAATAATCTTATCTCGAGATTACGAATATCTATGACAGTAAGGTCATCGTGATAGCTCTTCATTTATTTATTTATTACGGGGGAAATGGTGTTGTTCAGGGGAAAGAGGCGTCGCAGTCCGTTTGGTGGACACTTCATGGTGGACACTGCCCAGGGTGGACACTGCTCGTGGTGGACACTGCACATGGTGGACACTGCCCAGGGTGGACACTGCCCAAGGTGGACACTGCACATGGTGGACACTGCTCGTGGTGGACACTGCCCATGGTGGACACTGCTCGTGGTGGACACTGCCATGGTGGACACTGCCCAAGGTGGACACTGCACATGGTGGACACTGCTCGTGGTGGACACTGCCATGGTGGACACTGCCCAAGGTGGACACTGCACATGGTGGACACTTCATGGTGGACACTGCTCATGGTGGACACTGCTCATGGTGGACACTGCCCAGGGTGGACACTGCACGTGGTGGACACTGCACGTGGTGGAAACTGCACGTGGTGGACACTGCCCAGGGTGGACACTGCCCGTGGTGGACACTGCTCGTGGTGGACACTGCTCATGGTGGACACCGCCCGTGGTGAACACTGCACGTGGTGGACACTGCACGTGGTGGACACTGCTCGTGGTGGACACTGGTGGTAGCCACCAACCCCCCCAAGCTCCACTCGCTCCGCCCCCCACCACGGCGCGTGGGGAATCTACTCACGAGTCACTCTGTGAGCGAGTGCGGTGCGGGGCGCGCGTGGGCACGAGACCCCCCCCTCCAATCCCAACCCTCCGCCGCCTACCCGATGAGTGACCTTGACCCCCCCCCCACCCCGTGTCCGTACAAACCCAGTCGCCCTCTTCGCTCGGCCGACTCCTCCGTAGAGCCTCGCCCGCCCTCTTGAACTCACACCCCACTCATCTACAGCCTCCCTCCCCCACCCCTCCCTCCCCCTCTCCCTCCCCCCCTCCCCCACCGCTCCCTCCCCCTCACTCCCTCCCCTCCTCCCTCCCCCCTCCTCCCTCCCCCCCCACCGCTCCCTCCCCCCCTCCTCCCTCCCCCCTCCTCCCTCCCCCCCACCGCTCCCTCCCCCTCACTCCCTCCCCCCCTCCTCCCTCCCCCTCTCCCTCCCTCCTCCCCCTCCCCTAGAACTCTTCCGATCGTTCGAAACTTCGAGACTGTTTTTTTGGCGCCGTGTGAATGGAAGTTGCCTGCCGCTTTTCGTTTTCGTTCCGCGAGCTTTCAGCGAGACGATGAGCTCATTCACAATCCGCGTTCTTTTGTGAATTAAGTCACGTGGCCATTCACTCGAGGTCAGAGCTCCGGCTGACCCCTGACCGACACCCGTTGTCATCGTCAGCGAAACGTGGAACGCTTTTAAATACTTTTGCTTAATTTTGTTTTGCTCTTTTCGGCGTAACCGGATTGATGAACAAACTTTTTCATCGATTGGCACAGATTTGCACCACGAGACGCATTCGATCTGTTTGCTTGTGTTGGACTGCGGAGGGTACGTCACTCTTGTTGTTGTTGCTGTTGTTGAGTGGCGAGGCTGTGCTGCTGTGTTGCACACGTGGTGCGCGCCTGCCAACGTTAGCTCAACGTTAGTCCCAACGTTGGACCGACGGTGGCCCAACGTACCATCCCAACGTCAACCAACTTTGATTCAGCGGTCCCAAGGGGCCATCCATTGAGTAGGTACGCAAAAATCTGTCAAAACTTGACCCCCCCCACCTACGTACGCTTGACGCACCCCCCCCCAAACCTATAGAACGGCCGATATTTAATCCACGTAGAAACGATCAAGGATTAATAATATTAACGTGTTTAAGCAAACAGATAGTCCACCGCCGGACTATCTAACTAATTTGAAGGCCAATGTAGACAAATTATTATCGAGGCTTCACCCCCCACTCCCCTGTTTCCTATGCGTACATTGTCAGTAGACCCCCCACCCATACACAAGCGTACGCATCTGGGTTAACCCTCCCCTTAATGCGTACGAACTAAATGGATGACCCCCTAACCGCATGCGAACATTGGCGCGACGCCGGAGATCCAGTCGACATTGAACATTGGCCCGACGTCGGGTCCAACGCTTCCAACCGCGTGCCAACGTTAACCTAACGTTGGCACGTTTACTGGGGGGGGTGGGGGTGTTGGGTGAGAGATGTGCGTCGCCGGGGCTTGACTCACTCGTGCCGGACACCGACTTCCCGATGTCCGCGATGGACCTCAGCCCGGACTTCTTGGTCTGGTGGCGGTGTCTCCGCAGGAGCGCGTGCGACACTTTGTCCCTCTGCTCGCTCCGCAGCTGACCGCTCGCGATTTGGCTTCCTATCATCAGGTCTGCACGCAGCACACAAAAAGACAAAGATCACCCGTGTAGCCTTAGCAGACTGTAGGGGCAAGTGCTGTTAGAGAGCAGCTATGAAGGCCGGAACGGTACACACGAGGGGGTGGGTGGCCAGGACCACGCCCGACCGCCTTTGTGTCCCTAGTGGCGATGCTTACACACCGCACCAGGTACTCATTGTAGGCTGAGTCGACCTAGGGGAGGCTCAGGACCCGTTCAGATAATAATCGTCACTGGTGTTGGCCGTGAGCGGGTATCGAACTCGAGTCGCTGTGTTAACCACTGCGCTACCGCTAAGATCAAACACACACGCACATCACTCCCTACACCGCACGTGCTTTACCTTTCGCACAATAGACAAAGATCCAACGAGTGCAGCGGCGTGTAGGGGCTGTGCAGCGTAATGCAGAGACTGGGTGAAGCAATGTGCAGCAGCTGTGAAGCGAGTGCAGCTGCGTGAAGAGACGGTGTGCGGAGGCCGTGCAGCGGCGGTCGTGAAGCGTTGTGCAGAGGCGATGCGGCGGGGGTTCAACTGCGTGCAGCGAATTCAGCGGCGGTGCAACGGCCGACGCGTAGCTGTGTGCAGCTGCATGACTTATCGTGCAGCGAGCGTATCGGCGGTCGTGCAGAGTAGTGCAGAGGCGGAGTGGCGGCGGTGCAACTGCTTGCAGCGGCTATGCAGTCCATGCAGCGGCGGTTGTGCAGCGTGGTGCAGCAGCGAGTGCAGTGATGGTAGTGCAACGTCGTGCAGCTGCGGTTGTGCAGCAGCGAGTGCAGTGGCGGTAGTGCAGCGGCGGTAGTGCAGCGTGGTGCAGCAGAGAGTGCAGTGGCGGTGGTGCAGCAGCGAGTGCAATGGCGGTAGTGCAGCGTCGTGCAGCGGCGGTAGTGCAACGTGGTGCAGCAGCGGGTGCAGTGGGGGGGGGGGGGGGAGTGCAGCTGGTCGGTAGTGCAGCGGCGTGCGTGGTGCAGCAGAGAGTGCAGTGGCGGTGGTGCAGCAGCGAGTGCAATGGCGGTAGTGCAGCGTCGTGCAGCGGCGGTAGTGCAACGTGGTGCAGCAGCGGGTGCAGTGGCGGTGGTGCAACGTGGTGCAGCAGTGGTAGTGCAGCGTGGTGCAGCAGCGAGTGCAATGGCGGTAGTGCAGCGTGGTGCAGCAGTGGTAGTGCAGCGTGGTGCAGCAGCGAGTGCAGCGGCGGGGCACACACCCACGATGTGCGGCAGCGTGAGCGCCTCGAGGTCGAGCAGCACGGCCCCGAGCTGGATGCAGGAGCGCAGCTCGAAGAGCGCGTGCAGCGACAGCGTGGCCACGTGCGGCTTGCTCCATCGTTCGCCCCCCGCCTCCACCTTCTCCTCGAACTTGACCCACCTGGCACGTCACACGATAACCATCATCGTCGTCACGATCATCGTCGTAATCAGATGGTCGTATGGCTGCCGATGTAGTTGGCAGTGGAGCACGCGCACAAATCACAGCAACGACAGCAACACAAACTGAACGCGTCTTCTGTGGTTCTTTCGGTAAAGTCACGTAGAAGGGAAGTAATACAATAATGAAAATAAAACGTAATAAAATAATTATCACGACGTTTCGGCCACAACGCAAGCAGCCGTTCTCAGGTGAAGACCAGGTCTGTCGGGGAGACAGCGTCTGAATGAACTGAACGCGTCCTTCGACAGCACTGCTGCTGGTGGCGCATCGGCAGGAGCTTATGTACTTATGCAATTTCTGCTCGTGTACTTTATTTTATAATGACTTGCTTACATTTTCTCGATTGTACAGGGCAATCCAGATGCACTTGCGACCCCCCCATTTAATTCTCTACAAAGTGTATTTTTTAAGTAAGATTTTTTAAAATATAAATTAACATGCAAAAGGTAAACAAATGGTAGGGGTTAGTTAATTGGGGTGGGGGGGGTCACAATACATCTGAACCACGCATGTACACTCATATCATTGTGGTGGACTGTTGTCGTTAAAAAAACAGCTTCATAGCTCATCGGATTCCTCTTCCAGTCGAAGATACAAATGTTCTGATTCTGTTCAAGGAGAGATGTTTAATCAGCAACGTTTAGAATCACGTCCCCTCTTCATAGCACGCGCACGCGAGAGGACACAGAGATACGTGTCGGAGAATGCACTTTACACTATGGGGCCAGATAAGAATGTCATAAAATTTGTTTCCGGATCAACATTTTGCAGCTAAGCATATGAATAGTCAGACTCTTAGCTATTGATTATATTATCGGACAACCCCTTTCACTGATAACCCTCCTCCCCTCCCACTATTATTGCCAATTCAAACTAATCCATATTAAGTGTAATTACTGGGTGTTTTCATTTTTCTCTCCTTAAAATGTTGCTGGCGCGTTGCATTGTGGGTCACCGCGTGGGATCGCCACACGAGGACCATGCAGAGACAAGACGGCGTCAGTGTCACCAGACGATTGCATTCCTTCTGGAGGGTCCCCGTCGATTCCCTTTGCCCTTAGCTCTGCTAATGATCTTGCTTCATCTTCGTCTCGTCCCTTATTCTCGTCACTTTTTTTTTGTTTTTGCGTCTGCTGTTAACGGCCTGGGTCAAAACTCGCAAACTGACCCTGCTATCCTGGTCTCTTTCTCTCTGTCGTGGAGGTCTCAACGGGTTAAATCAATAAACTTGAAATTTGCAAGGGTGCAAGTGGCGATGTTGACCACAAAGATAAAAGATCCCCCGTGTAGCCTGAAACAGACTGTAGGGGCAAGTGCTGTTAGCGAGCACCTATGAAGGCGGGCACGGCACACGGAGGGGGTGGGCGGCCAGCACCACGTCCGACCGCATTTAGTCTCCCCAGTGGCGATATTAACACACCGCAGCAGGTACTAATTTGAGGCTGAGTCGACCTAGGGGAGGCCCAGGACCGGTTCAGATATTCGTCACTGGGTGTTGGCCGTGAGCGGGAATCGATCCCGGGTCGCCGGGTTCATAGCGCAGCGTAGCGCTAACCGCTGCGCCACCGCTCCCCACGTTGTTGACCGCACGCACGCATGCACGCGCGCAGACGGTGTTTTGGACGAGAGCCGTCACCGGTCGAAGCCCTACGGCCGGTTTGGTTGCGGTCGAGAAGCAGAAAGCGCGTCGCGTTCCAGCGCCTGCCAAAGCTTTATATCTTTCTTCTTGGTTCTTTCGGTAAAGTCACGTGGAAGGGAAATAATAAAATAATAAAAATAAAACATAATAAAATAATTCATGGGAATTATTCGTAGGAATTATTTTATTACGTTTTACTTTTTTATTAAATAAAACATAATAAAATAATTCATAGGAATTATTCATAGGAATAATTTTATTGGTTTATTTTTATTATTTTATTATTTCCCTTCTACGTGACTTTACCGAAAGAACCAAGAAGATGAATCCCTGCAGTCACGAAAGCTTTAAATCGAAACTTTATATTGTTTTTTTTTGACGTGAGGGTCACTCCGCACCCACTCGTTTGACAGATTAGATTCTTGCGGTTCGGGGAGAAACGTCCGCCTCCTCTCTCTCTCGCACATCTCCACGGCGGATAAACTTCGCTCAGCACGGGGCGACGTGAGAGGCGGAGTGGTGGGGCGTGCGGCATTTTACTGGGGGTGTCGAAACGATTAATGGTCAATAAATCAGAGCCTAGTAAAACAAACTAAAAAAATCTACACAACCGGCACTGACTCGACAATAAAGAGTTAAAAACTACCGTTTGTGGGGTTTTTTTGCAGAAGAAACACCGATAAACGGGACTGAGGGGGGGGGCGAATGCAAATTCATGTATTTGGGGGGGGGAGCGGATTTGAAATTCCGAAGCAAATCTCCGTGTCTGTAATCGCACTCGCTTTATGAGCCTCTGTGCCCCAGGTGCATAAGCCACCTTGATTGAGATGCCCTCTTGAGCTAACATCCATTTAACTCGGCGCCAAGGGTTACATTTTGAACTTCGTGGTTTCAGTGCAAAGCCGGGGGGGGGGGTGGGTTCGCGTGTGTCGGGGAGTTGCCCGCAACCCCGGCGCCCCGATAAGTTGCCCTCAACCCCGGCGCACCGCGAAGTTGCCCTCAACCCCGGCGCACCGACGAGTTGCCCTCAACCCCGGCGCACCGAGAAGTTGCCCTCAACCCCGGCGCACCGACAAGTTGCCTTCAACCCCGGCGCGCCGACGAGTTGCCCTCAACCCCGGCGCACCGAGAAGTTGCCTTCAACCCCGGGGCACCGATAAGTTGCCCTCAACCCCGGCGCACCGACGAGTTGCCCTCAACCCCGGCGCCCCGACAAGTTGCCCTCAACCCCGGCGCACCGACAAGTTGCCTTCAACCCCGGGGCACCGATAAGTTGCCCTCAACCCCGGCGCACCGACAAGTTACCCTCAACCCCGGCGCCCCGACAAGTTACCCTCAACCCCGGCGCACCGACAAGTTGCCTTCAACCCCGGGGCACCGATAAGTTACCCTCAACCCCGGCGCACCGACGAGTTGCCCTCAACCCCGGGGCACCGATAAGTTGCCCTCAACCCCGGCGCACCGAGAAGTTGCCCTCAACCCCGGCGCACCGACGAGTTGCCCTCAACCCCGGCGCCCCGATAAGTTGCCCTCAACCCCGGCGCACCGACAAGTTGCCCTCAACCCCGGTGCACCGACAAGTTGCCCTCAACCCCGGCGCACCGAGAAGTTGCCCTCAACCCCGGCGCACCGAGAAGTTGCCTTCAACCCCGGCGCACCGACGAGTTGCCCTCAACCCCGGCGCACCGACAAGTTGCCTTCAACCCCGGCGCACCGAGAAGTTGCCCTCAACCCCGGCGCACCGACAAGTTGCCTTTAACCCCAGCGCACCGAGAAGTTGCCCTCAACCCCGGCGCACCGACGAGTTGCCCTCAACCCCGGCGCACCGACAAGTTGCCCTCAACCCCGGCGCACCGACAAGTTGCCCTCAACCCCGGCGCACCGACGAGTTGCCCTCAACCCCGGCGCCCCGACAAGTTGCCCTCAACCCCGGCGCACCAAAAAGTTGCCCTCAACCCCGGCGCACCGACAAGTTGCCCTCAACCCCGGCGCACCGACAAGTTGCCTTCAACCCCGGCGCCCCGACAAGTTGCCCTCAACCCCGGCGCACCGACAAGTTGCCCTCAACCCCGGCGCACCGACAAGTTGCCCTCAACCCCGGCGCACCGACAAGTTGCCCTCAACCCCGGCGCACCGACAAGTTGCCCTCAACCCTGGCGCACCAAAAAGTTGCACTCAACCCCGGCGCACCGACAAGTTGCCCTCAACCCCGGCGCACCGACAAGTTGCCCTCAACCCCGGCGCACCGACAAGTTGCCCTCAACCCTGGCGCACCAAAAAGTTGCACTCAACCCCGGCGCACCGACAAGTTGCCCTCAACCCTGGCGCACCAAAAAGTTGCACTCAACCCCGGCGCACCGACAAGTTGCCCTCAACCCTGGCGCACCAAAAAGTTGCACTCAACCCCGGCGCACCGACAAGTTGCCCTCAACCCTGGCGCACCAAAAAGTTGCACTCAACCCCGGCGCACCGCGAAGTTGCCCTCACCTGGCCGTCTCCTTCCACTCCATGTCCTGGCCGTCGTGGCTGGTGCGCAACTCGTCCAGCTCGGTGAAGAGCTGCGGCGGGGGTGCTCCATCGCCCTCGTCGCTCAGGAAGAGTCGGGCGCGCTCCACCCCCGGGGTCACTGTGGACACGAAGATGCTGCGGCTCACGCGAGGACCCGCCAACACCTCCTCCTCCTGATCCTTTCTCGTCCCGCGCCCGTAGCTGCCCTCCTCCTCCTGCTGCTCCTGCTTCTCCTGCTTCTCCACATCCTCCAGCGGGACTTTGATCTCTGACATTGGGGTTTGCTTGTTTGTTTCAAGAGACAGATTTGGTGTCTCGCCCACCCCCTGGCCCCGTCTACAAGGGTCTGCCCGGCCGCACTTCGGATGAAACTGGCCTCAAAGCACGGATAACGCGAATGACCAAAACCGCTTCGACGAAATCGCTCGGTGACCGCTGCCTCGCCTTCTTGTCAGCTGTGATGGTGCAGCGTTTGAACCAACTGGCTAAATGAGTCACGGGACAGACGCGTTCGTCGGTGACGGCAACATTCGCAATTAATGTTCTTAATTTTTTTGAGCAAAACACCTGCGTACGGGGTGGTTGGGGGTGATGGCGGTGAGAGAACCCGCTCTTTGCAACAAGAACAACAACAAAAAAACAGTCTTTTTCTTGTGTTGTTAAAGTGCAACGGAAATAAATGGTTTATATTAAAAAAAAAGAATGTTGCTGTCAGGTGTGTGCGGAGCCGCCAGCTGTGATTTGAGTTCGTGGAGCAGTCTTCCCCCCCGCGTCGCGCTCCGCTCGATCCAGCCCCCAGCTGTTTTAGCGGCTGCCCCTTTTTAAGCCGCAGTTTATACGGCCCATGACGCTGCGTACACAGCGCCAGGCTTACCTGGGCAATCATTAACTTATGCCACCTTTCACCACTGCGGAGAGACCGGTCACTCCTCCTCTCGAGCCCCCCAATTCATTAGCTATAAATAGCACCGATTATATCCCTGCCTTTCCGTCAACCTTTTCCGCCTTGATAATTGGTCTGAATCTCAATGGGCACTTGGTGTGATTTAGAAAGTAGTGATTTGACAATTGCCATGCGAGCACTGACTCTTCGCCGTCCCCCCCCCCCACGCCGTCAACCAGATGTTGTTACGTCTCCTGGAAAAACGCGTTGTGTAAATATTAAACAACACAAAAAACGATATAACCTGGACGCTTGAAGGAATACAGTCCACTCGCATTGATGAGCAAGAGGGCCGATTATATTATCGACTGGGTCGCAGTGTGACGATCTTCCCGGAGCGGATTCTGCGGATTATGAGACGCTCCTGAAAGTAAAGACGCTATCCCCCCCAGCCCCCCCCCCCCCCAAAATAAAAACTCGCTGTCGGTGGCAATAAAGGTATGCAAGTCCGGACGCTGCGTGTTTGTGTGTCTCACTCTGTGCGTGTGTGTGTGTCACTCTGTGCGTGTGTGTGTCACTTTGTGCGTGTGTGTGTCACTCTGTGCGTGTGTGTGTGTCACTCTTTGCGTGTGTGTCTCACTCTGTGCGTGTGTGTGTGTCACTCTGTGCGTGTGTGTGTCACTTTGTGCGTGTGTGTGTCACTCTGTGCGTGTGTGTGTGTGTGTCACTCTTTGCGTGTGTGTGTGTCACTCTGTGCGCGTGTGTCACTCTGTGCGTGTGTCACTCTGTGCGTGTGTGCGTGTTTTCGTCACGCTGTGTGTGGGTCACGCTCTGTGTGTGTGTGTCACTCTGTACGTGTGTGTGTGTCACTCTGTGCGTGTGTGTGTGTTACGCTCTCTGTGTTACACTGTGTGTGTGTCATGCACGCACGCACACACGCCCACCTACGAATGGCAATACGGACTCACAACTTTTGCTTTATAAAACAAGAGAAAGAACAACCGCAATAATCCGCAGCACGTGGTAAATAAAATTTACCACGCGTGCGAGATTGTATTTTTTTTATTACTGATAATTAAGTGTATAATGATGTAGACACGGCTGCTGCTGCTGCTGCTAATAGCTGTCGCAGATAGCTGTTGTAGAGATGCACAGCCATCTCAGAAATCTTTCCATCTCGACGAAGCGATCTTAGACATCCGTGTCGAGATGTAATAACATCTAGAAAAGCCATCGCCTTGAATGTGTTGTCACGGGATGTAAAATGATCTCTCTCTCTCTCTAAAAGGGTACTTTTGATGTAAGATATTTTACCAGTGTACAAAACACACACACACAATGAACAAATCTACAGGACGGAATTTTGATCAGACGCAATTTTGGTCTGTGTGTATGCAGCGCTGATGAGTTATAAAGAGATCTACTGACAATCAACAGTCAAGAAATCGAATTCACCCCAACGCTCCAAGTTTGAAAAAAACACAAAACCTGACTAATTGCGAATCACCAAACCTGATAGTTCATCACATTCCTCGAGTCGTCGCGTTGGGAGTTTTTTTGCGTCTCCTTTCGGTCTTGACTGAGAGCACAAACAACCTTTGTGCGTAACCGTGACAACACCGAGAGCCCCGTTCCCTATCTGCTCGGCGGCGGGAGGGCCAATGTACGTCGCGTGACAGCTGACGGGGGAATCCGAGCAACGTCCCTGAATCGGCAGCAAAAGCAACGAACCGGGCAAATCGCTTTTTGTTCCACTGGCAACATCCGAGCGATCGCTCGGGAGGCCTTGACCGAGCCAGTCCGGCGCGGCTCTTCACTCTCCCACTGCAGAAGCAGAACCGTGCCTGCCGACGCCACAGCCTCAACGAACGTGACGAGACGCGTGCGGATGACGCCGCCGCAACGGCGACTCCGTGCCATCATCGCTGCGCTGAACATGCATCGAACGCGCCATTAGTCCTGGCCCTGCTTGGCCCCGTGTCTCGTGAGGCCAGGCCAGCTAGGCGCGGTTTGGTTTCGGCCCGGCACGACATTGTGAGCCAGTGGAAACTGCCCCCCACCCGCTCACCGCCCCTCCCACCCCCCACCACCACCCGCGTACCGTGAGGGCGAACGCGGTGGCTCGGCTGGGGTGAGCCAGTGGAGAAAAAAAAACCTGGGTAGGAGATCCCCAACAGCAGTCAAAGTCAGCGCAGCCGCTCATCCCCGACAGGGCTTCTCTGCCCTTTGACTCCAAGCCTTGACATTTTATTGGGGTGGGGTGGGGTGTGGAGGAGCTGTGTAGAATGAGTTACACGCTACGTAAAACAACGAGTTGCAATACCCCCTAGGTCGCTCCACCGATAAAGGCTATAAAATGCAAAGTAACCCTTTAACGAAGTCTCACGGACACTATAATGCTCGCTTACGTCGCAACGCATGGAAGCGCAGTAACGGCGGCCGTTTAGGCGAACGAGTTGCGGTTACCTTCAGCTTGACCCCCCCCCCCCTTCTCTTTCTTTTTTACTGCCTCCACTAAATTACAACGACGATTGCCGCCTGAAAGCTCCCGAAGCGGCTGCTTCTGGGCAGCGGAACATCGGAGACCACCCGAGGCACTCGTTAGCAGACGACTTCTGTGACACACGGGGCCTGCAGAGTACGAGAGAGCACGGGACGAGTGGTGGTGGTGATGATGATGACGGTGATAAGAATCTTTAGTTATTTCAGAATCGTGGCTATTTAGACTGGAGGAATCCAATCACGGGGCCGGCCCAGGACAACGCTGGTCGGCTGGCCTGGGAACGCCTAGGAATTCATAGGAAGAACTAGAGTCTGTGTATAGTCGTGTATAGTAGTGTAGTAGTGTATATTGATGTAGAGCATGAGTCTGTCGCCAGGCAAAGGGAGGTCTGGACCGCCCTACTCAACACGCTGCCACCGCAACCCTCACTGGGATGAGCAGATCTATAAAAACTTAATTTGGAGCTTTCGTGACTGCAGGAATTACTCTGTGGTTCTTTCGGTAAAGTCACGTATAAAGATAAAATAATAAATTAAATTAAATACTAGCATACGACGTTTCGATTGCAACACAAGCAATCATCATCAGGTATAAATGAAATAGAAACACAAATCTAGCATACTTAGAAATGTAATGTAATACAACAGAGAGTCGGAGAACATAACAGTCAACACCCTACCTGGTTAAATTTCGATTTCAAGCTTTCGTGGCTGCAGGGATTCATCTTCTTGGTTCTTTCGGTAAAGTCACGTAGAAGGGAAGTAATAAAATAATAAAAATAAAACATAATAAAACAATTCTCACGACGTTTCGGCCACAACGCAAGCAGCCGTACTCAGGTGAAAACCAGGTCCGTCGAGGCGACAGAGTCATTCAGACTCTGTCGCCTCGACGGACCAGAGTCATTCAGACTCTGTCGCCTCGACGGACCTGGTTTTCACCTGAGGACGGCTGCTTGCGTTGTGGCCGAAACGTCGTGAGAATTGTTTTATTATGTTTTATTTTTATTATTTTATTACTTCCCTTCTACGTGACTTTACCGAAAGAACCAAGAAGACCCTACCTGGTTGATTACGTTCTTCCTGAAAATGCTAAATTTGAGAGAGAGATAAAACACAGAACCAGAGACATATAGACAGACATATAAGCAGACAGATATCTGTATGATTTGCTTGTGTTGCAATCGAAACGTCGTATGCTAGTATTTAATGTATTATTGTATCTTTATACGTGACTTTACCGAAAGAACCAAAGAGCAGATCGATAAAATCAACGAACGAACGAATCGATATGATCCTCAATTAGTTCCCAACCACCACCTCCCAGGATTTCCTTCCAGCACCCCCCCCCCACTCTTTCACTCTTTATTTTGACAGTGGAAGGCGGTGAGAGAAGCAAGGGGGGGGTTATTTTCCAGAGCTCAGCCCCGTACAGCTCCGGCTAAGATTAAGCCACTTAAGCCTCGATGACGGTGGAGTTTGAGCGTTTATAAAAATAAAATAAATAAAAATCTTCACTGATGTGAGGATGGAAGTCAGCGGTTCACAACATGTTGGTCGACCCCCCCCCCCCCCCCATGGACAGGGAGGTGTTGGGGGGTCGTCGGGGGGGGGGGGGGTAGCACAGGTTGCAGCGTGGATACCGAGCGGGACAAATTTTTCGAACGTCGTCGATACGTCGTGGCGACAAAGCGCGCCGATAGGCAACGTGAACAACCACGAGCGTGCCTTGG